GTTTGATCGCCGAATATCTGGGACAGTGTTCTGACCGTTTCATCAAAGCTGAGGTCGCGGGGCAGCTTGGGGAGAATGAAATTTGTGAACCGTTCATGCTCCGGTGTGCCGAGTTTTCGCAGCAATAGTCTGACTTTCCATCCATCGTCAAATTTGGAAAAATCAGTTTTGAACATGTCTTCGTACCGCTTGAACCAGGAGTCAAAAGTGTGACCAGAAAGAGCGTCAAATGTGAACTCCGTAATTGAGGCCGCGGCTGCATCAGTTGAGGAAACAGAAGACTCACCAGTGCTGACTGCTGCTGTCTGGATATGCAGTTTCTGAGTCAGTGATTCAATGAGCTTCAGTTGCGCTTCTTCAAACTGCTTTTGTTGCTGCTGCAATAATTCTCGGAGCTGATCAAATTCGATTGACATCGTGGGTTCCCGTGCTACATCGAGCGAAGAGAAAGTGCCCTCAGGATGGGGAATGTTGACGCGGACGCTCTGTGGAAACCCCCGTTGCATCAGCCTGATAGCTGTGGCTTATCTTTCGGAGGTTGACTGAACACAAGGGAAACGAATCTGGGTTCTGTATCGCAAGAGGATATATCGACCAAATCTTCGACAGATTCTGGAGCTGCGACACTGCTTACAACAACCAACACTGGTTGTCTTCCTTGACTTGATGTCTCAAGTGGTTAGAGCGCGCGAATTTACTGACCGGATGGTTCGTGGTTCGATTTTGACCTCCACCTCTTGACTCCCCCTATCTAGACTTGGGCAACCTAGCAGTATCCCAGCCCTCGGGCTTGCCTCGGATGGCACCAGAAGGGTGTTACAGCTAAACAATTTTCTCACTTGAAAACTGCCTTTGACTCTGTGGACCGTTAGTCGCTATGGTAGTGTCCATGGAACAAAAGTGTCCCCAATAAATCCTTAACCCTGCTTAAGGCTCCTCAAGACTTCGAGCTTGCGAATGAACCGATTGAGGCAGTAGATTATTTCGTCTAACTGGATAGCTCTATCAGTCTCGGTGGTCTCGCAAGAGATGATATTCCCATCCGGATTGGAAAGGCCAGAAGCGCTTATGTGAAGCTGGATCACCTGTGGCATAGGCTTGACATCAACCTATCAGTTAAGGGTCGATTTACAGTGCTGCGGTGCGCTCCATATTGCTAAACGGATCAGAAACCTGGCCGTTGCGCGCCGAGGACGTCAAAAAAAGTGTTTTAGCTTTGATGTGTTATGTTTCGATAATGCAGCGAGCAAACGCTTATATAAATGGACTTTGACGATATGCTTTCCGCAGTTATGTTGCTTAATCCTGATTTTTAGTACAGTGCAATAATAAGGAAACGAACCCTTGGACAACTTTAATGTTCCGAATTCCNTATATATATATATAATATCCTTAGTTCGACCTTGAACGATGCCGGAAGTTCGTTAGCACACATAAAAATACAGTTTTTTGGGGATATGAACATCCTCAACACCCCCTTGTAAAAAATCAGTAACGAGTTTGAAATGGATCGACCTGGATACGTTCCGGCTGGTGGCGGCGTCGGTCTCTCTACCGCCTGGGAAGAAGTGCTAAATCAGGCACTCTCTTCCTTCGAAACTGCATCAGCTTTCAACTCAAAAGTATCGAGCAACATGTCCAACGGTACGGTACCCGAACACACTGGAGTTTCCGTCGCGGAGTTGGTTTTGATGCCTGATCCAGGTGTCTTGACCAACCGACACATCGTACATTACACTACTGCGTTTGTGCAGGATACGACCCGCAATCCACCGACCAATAATCACGGACAACTGCGGGCTTGAATGGAGCTCCAGCGGCTACCAGTATGGATCTTGACTCAGTAGACTGTGTTGGCAACATGGAAGAATACGTATTCTCAACTTACGATCCATGAGTGCCTCTGCAGGTGCCTGGTGGTTCGCCAAAGCATCACTCGGGGTCGTTCGGTACACAAACAGGAATCCTTAATTGGATCCCTAATGGATGTCTCCTCCCCTCAAGCTTTAAGCAAGGCTGTCTTGAATGTGTCGACGAACCTTTCTGCTTGGCCACTGTGGGTGGTACAGTGGTGAACGAACGTGTGTTATCGCATATCGAGTGCAAAAGTTGCGGATCTCAGCGGAGGTGAACTGCAAACCGTTGTCCGAGATGATGGACTCCGGCAAGTCATGCTGGCTGAAAATGTTGGATAACACACGCAGCGTACTAGATGTTACTGGAGAGAATAACGGGATGATTTATGGCCCCTTGGAAAAAGCGTCGATCAAAACCGAACAGGAGGTGCCGCGTATCGGTCCTGCGTAATCAATTTGGACCATAGACCAAGCCTTCTCAGGTCAAGGGCAGGGAACCGGTGGTTGACGGGCGGGTTCTTGGAAGTTTGTTGGGACGAGATGGCCCAAGTGCTTAGGGCGCGAATTTACTGGCCGGAAGGTCTGTGGTTTGAACCCGATCTCTGCCTCTCGACTTCCACCGTCTAGGCTTGGGCAGCCTGGCAGTATCCCAGCCCTCGTGCAACCTTCTGGTGACATAGCAGCTATGCATCGAAAGGGTGCCACAGCTGAATGATTGTTTTGTTGGCATCGTTGGCAGTGTTTTACAAAATCAGTGATGCACTGGTCCATGTGCGGCCAGTAGGCATAGCTGCGAGCTTTTGACTTCATGCTGTTTGTTCTCTGGTGCCCTGAACGGAACTGACGGAAGGTTCGATAGCGTAAAGATTAAGGAATCAGTGTGCAATATTCAAACACCAATCATTTTTTTACGACCGATAGTGCATCTTGGCGATGAAGGAGCTGTCGAAGGTTCGGAGACCATCGATAATTCACGAGCTGCATCACCTTCTGAAGCGTTCGATCAGCCATGTTAGCTTTTTGAACTTCTGACACTGTCACGGGTAATGCACGAACAGACTGGACCAACTGGGGGCCGGCGGCGTCCTCGAAAGTAACCTGCGCAATAACCATGTCTTTGTGAGTTGGCTGATTGCTGATCAGGCGAGGTAATGTATCGGCCTGACCGAAGTCTGTGGTGCGACGATATTGAATATCAAAGTTGTAGCCCAGCACAATAAGCACCCACATTTGGAAGCGGTTGGCAGAGTGTCCGAGAACACCTTTTTTGAACCGAAAATGGACAGTAGGTGTTTATGATCGGTAAGTCCGGTAAAACGTCGACCGTACAACAACTTGTGAAAACGCCGGACGGCGAACGCTGAGTGAACTGAGCATCACCTTTAGCTTGCAGATTGCTTCCTCGGATTCCTCTGACCAACATTAGAGGACATCCCTCCCAAAATAAGAAAAACTCGTTTGGCTGTGCCATGCCACACGAAGGAGGCATGAGGGCTGGGATACCGCCAGGTTGCACAAGCCTAGACAGGAGAAGTCGAGAGGCAGAGGTTGGTTTCGAACTACGGACCATCCGATCAGTATATTCGCGCTCTAACCATTTGGTCCATCTCGCCCCATGATCTCTCTCACCATTTCTTGAGTACCTTTGATACTCTGAGCTACCAACTTTTCCGCTGTAATGGGAACAATGGAACAACAATTCTGAAGTAATTCGAATGGTTTTCGGAAGAAATAGCTCACCCACGATAGATGATTTGATCACACTCCATAGGTGGCGCTGGCTTGGCCGTCTGCGTCCATTAGTGTTGCTAATCCACTGTCTACCAACAATGTTTCGGAGACGCCAATGGTGAAGTTCTGGAAGTCTTTAAAGTCAGGAATGGGGTTTCTGTGCATAGCCGAGTTCCAAACTGAACTCTCGCGAGAGGACGTGGTGTCGCATCGATTCCATGGACCCCGTGGGATGGTCAGCACCCCTCTGGCCTCCCTTAGTTGAAAGACCAGGCTGCTTGAATTGTCCGGGTAAACGGGTCCCACTCATTCTTGAAGTAGAACCGTGTACTTCGTGTATGTCAACTTGTGAGTCTTATTTATTTCATCTGTGTAATAATATTGACATTTTGTGGAAATGTACTCAGTGTTTGCGGGCGACTTTCCTGGGGATGTGAAGGACCTAGCTGAAGTCAAATCATTACAGTGGGCATCGCCGAAGCCCTTCAAGGAGGTGTAGGATATCGTGACAGTATTTCCCCTACAGGACCACTACGCGTCCATCATTTGCCATACAGACCGTTGATCACTTTCTTTGGGCGTGTGATGCTCTCTGGGAAGCCAGGTTTCATACTTCTAGACTTCATCATCTCCTTTTTGTTTTGTGCAAATTAAGTCATTCGCATTTTCCCAAGAACATTTGCTGATCCCCTTTTCAGTTTGGAACCATGATCTTTACAACATGAACGGACAGTCCCACACTCGCTGGTGGCGTGGTGTACACGACCCAGTTCATCCCCTTTCCCGTGCTGCTCATTCTTGCGTTGCTTATGGTCGGTATATTTATGTTCTGAATGGCTATGCTTCAAGCGGAGATGAGGTAGGTTCTCACGACAATGCACTCCAATCGTTCTCTTGTTGTTTGTTGTGGTTATTCTGGTTATCGATTTTTCTCTAACTTCCTGGTCCACAACATGTAGTACACCGTGACGATTTATCATTTGACCAAAGCACGTGACATGTAAAGTCGTTCCCTTGAAGAAGGATGGCGCCGTTTAGGTCCTCCGTCATCCTATGCTATAAACTATGCATGTGTCGCTTAGTGGATTTGAATGGAGCCATTTCTTTCGCTGATGTTGCTAAAAACACTGTGCCAATCAGGTGATAGTTTTTCACTGAATATAAACGTTCACCGATAGATCACCGAGTTGAACTCGGATGGAAGTTAGTTTCCGCATTTACCAACCACAACCAACCTCGTTGAACACTTCCGACCTCAGATCTCGTTGTGCAGACACCCATGTGTGGTCTGACCAAAATCAGATTGTTTGACTGAGCTGGGAGACCGGAAATGACCCAGTTCAGCGAGCAGAACAACACCCGTCCGTACAACGTCAGTAACCAACATTCTCCCCTATAGCATGAAAAAATCGTTCAGCTGTTGCACCCTTCCGGTGCCTGTTGGCTATGCCACCCGAAGGTTGCATGAGGGCTGGGATACTGCCAGGTTGCCCAATCCTAAACAGGGAAAGTCGAGAGGCAGAGGTCGGGTTCGAACCACGGACCTACCGGTCAGTAAATTCGCGCTCTAACCACTTGGGCCACCTCTATGGCATGGGGCCGGAGTGGCTTGCATTTGCCGCCCACCCTTTATTCTTGTCCAATTTATTATTCCGCTTTTTTGTCAACTAAGGGAAACGGTGGTGCTAAGTCATTTTGTTCCCATATTGGCGGACGTACCGTCCAGTAGGGTGTTAGCTGCCGTTTGTCTCTTCTTTGCTGATCCGAATCAAACACTATCAGGGGTCTGCCACGGGAGGACATTCACGTAGGTCATTGTTTAGACAGACAGGTTAGATTGAGTAGGCGCTTTTGAGAAACAACTTTCGGGAAACAACGACAGTGTGAGTGTGGTTAAGCTACCCTAATGTACTTTTCAAAGAGTACGTCTTCGCCACGACGACACACGCAGGGTCCGTTTTTACTATCAAATTAGAGTAGGCTTTTTAAAAGCGTACGTCGACTTGACTTGTATGAGTGGACGAGGTGGCTCAAATAGTCGGGGCGCGAATTTACTGACCGGAAGGTCCTTGGTTCGAACCCGACCTCTACCTCCCGACTTCCCCTATCTAGGCGTGGGCAACCTGGCAGTATCCAAGCCCTCGTGCTTCCTTCGTGTGGCATGGCAGCTAGGCGCCGGAAGGGTGTTATAGCTGAACGATTTCTTTATCTTTTTACTTGTAAGAGTTCTATTTCTTTCCTCATCATTTATTGCTCGGATTCCTTTTTCGTCGTATTTTAAATTTTTAACTAATTTTCTGCAATAATTTGTTGACCGAAAGCTGGTGACATTCATTCGTTTCAACTGATCACATAGTTTTACGTCTCGATGGCTTCATTATGAATATAGTATTCAATAGAAGTCAAGACAGCTAACTGTATCATTATCATCATCATCATCATCATCGACAGCATGACATCAGTGTTCAACACCAATGTTTCACTTCCGTACAACTATGATTTATTTGAAAGCCTTATTGTAAAGAAAAGAATAAAGGTGCACGGGGGAGGGACTTAGTGCTAGCTACCCCATTCCAGTTTTTTCCCGCTGTAGTCTTGCGGGACCCTCTCTCTGCCACTGATAATAATTAATTGGCCGAAAGAGTTATACGAAAACCTGTTGGTTCACCTGACGAAGTTTGTATCATAAGGATTAGACGGGTTCCACGAATCAAAATCAAACTCTCAGCAGTTCTCTTGACTTTAAGGTCATTGCGTAAACTTTTGTGTTTTCCGTCAAGCTGCTGCTCGTGACCTTGAAAATGACCTTCCAGGAATAAAAGCGCATTCTCTATTTTATTCATTTTCACTGTGAACAGGGTCCCATAGTTACCTAATACCCATAAATTAAGTCGACTAGTTTTTGCTTAGCTTTGTTGTCCGGACGTTCGAAATTTCGTTGTATACTGTGGCCGGTTTGATTCACCTACAGTAAGAGGAATTTGAATGCAGCACACTGGTATTGCGGACGACTGTTCTGATAACAACGGCAATGTTGTCGACGCTGACGAGAAGTAAAATGATGTTGGCAGTGTTGGTATTTTGACGAGGTCAATCACTTTGTTAGTCAGCTGTGACAAACAACCAATTCAACAGGTAATTTGGACGAGGCGGACTTTTCCCCAACACTTGAGCAATGCAGTCAGTTTTCGACTACCCGTGGGTGCTGTTGTCCGGAAGAGGTCAATCTTAAGCGGCCTAGCTGTCATGCCAACGGAAGAAGGCACGATGGCTGCGATACTGCTAGGTTGCTCAAGCCTAAACAAAGGCAGTCGAGATGCTGAGGTCGGGTTCAAACCATGAACCTACCGATCGGTGACCTGCTGCCTTCACCACTGAGCTGTCTTGAGCTATCTTTAGTGAAAATCTAAACCAGGGTAGAACCAAACTCGTTCACTCGCAAGCATGGGGTTTTCAAGCAGCGGTTATGTCACTTAGGCAGAAGAACGAATGCACCGGAATTTACTCTGTCGCATACACATGATCCATGTAGACCCTTCAGCCGAATAGGAATACTCTATTCAAGCGCTGGTACAGAAAATGGAACACTGTAGTGCAGTTAAACCGAGACGTAATAACTCGGTTGTGGAGGTAACTCGAGATGGTTCAGTGGTTCGAACCCAACTCCGACTGCTCCTGTCCAGGCTTAGACAGCGCTTGTGCCTCCTTCAGTTGGTATGGCAGCTAGACACCGAAAGGGCGTTGCAACCGAACGATTATTATGGCTGAGTGGTCAGTGCGTGAATTTACTGACCGAACCCGATCTCTGCCGCTCGACTTCCCCTTGTGCTTCCTTCTGGTGACATGGCAGTTAGGTACCGAAGGGGTGCTACAGCTGAGCTATAACATACAATCGTTTGAACCGAACACTCGATTGAGTAGTATTGGGAACCGCTGGTCTATCTTATCTTTTACAGTATAAAGATGAGATCAGTCTCATCCTTACTGGAAAACATGTAGTTTTGTTCGGTGTTTGTTCGCTCTTCACGCACACTGGAATCGAGGAGACCAAGGAACATGCCTATGAATAGGGTTTTCCGGCCACTCATCGCAACTGTGTGTACAAAAACGAACAGTTTCTCTCCAGTGGCAGTATCTGCGACCAGGTTGACGGCGTAGCAATTGGAAAACTTGTTGGCTCGTGTTTGTTTATTTATCTATGGGGTGTGTAGAAACCGCTGAATTTTGTAAGCCGATTCAAACAGCAGTGCTGTACAACCTGAATGTTAGTGAACGGGCAGATAGACCGCTTTCAATGCACGATCCACCATTACGCTAAGATTGAGTCAGAATAGAACGTTGGACTGAAGGAACGTTTCGGTTTCGCGATGAGCGTCGGACCAGATGGCGCCCTTTGGGTGCCATCTTTGGGTCCATATTCAGAGCTACCTCATGCAAGGTCATATGGTCCAGCTGTAGCACCCTTTCGGTGCCTGACCGCCATGCCATCGGAAGGAAGCACGAGGGCTGGGATACTGCCAGATTGCCCAAGCCTAGCGATAGGGAAAGTTGAGAAGCAGAGGTCGGGTTCGAACCACAAACCTTCGGGCCAGTAAATTTGCGTTCTAACTACTGATAAGCTCAGTGTTTCACAAGCTGGTACTCAGATTTGTGAACGGGTAATGCTTCGCATGTTGTGTACAAGAGCGCACCAAATTTCTTCTGAATGATCCCTTAATGACGACATTAGGTGTCTACGTTCTATGTTTATGGAAAACAGATGTCGTCTGAAACGTTCCCAGTGTCACACGAAGCAGATGGCTAAGCATACCGGTTATGCAGTTTCGATGATAACTCTGATCAAAACCAAGTGTGTTCTATCAGAATATAAACGGGATAGGCCCGATCCAATATGCTTTCGATCGCAAATAACTGAGGCGAACTGAACGAAGGCTCTATGCTAGAATGTCTAAACACATTGTTACAGTCCTGACATTACTTGAGGCCGAAGTTCTATGCAGCCCATAGCTCAGAACTTTAATATTGCGTTCCCCTCTGTTTCATGCTCTCGTATTTGCCCAATCGATTCGGTTTTCTGCTCCGAACCCCATTGCCTGTGTGATCTGGTTCATCTTAACTTTCTAATGGGAGAGTTATGTAAGCGATTAATTGACTGAATTCACGGTCTTTCGCCGAGGCATTGCTTCTCCCTGTTGCGTTAAAATAGTGCGGTTCAGTTGATCTACACAACCGAACTTCTTGGATCTAAGTGGATCCCTTTCTCTTCTACACTCGTCCCATCCTTTCCGTGGAAACTAGCGTTTTACTCCTCAGTTTGATGTTTGTTTGCCTGATCGGAGCGACCAGTGCATCCTGTGGGTAGCGTTGCAATTATTCCGCTCCTCTTCAAGCTAATACCTCTCTCCTTCTATTGTCTCCCGGTCTGACTTGTTCCCTCGTCTCCGTTCTCCTGAACTGCAGATGTGCCTATTCGATCGGGTCGGTCTCGCACGCTTTGATCCGCTCACCAGGACGGTTCATTTCCTGCCCATTCACTGGGACTGGTCATCGATGAGTGAACACGGTTGTAGCCTTCAGCTTCTATGCGCTTCCGGTGCAGCAGTCGCACTCCAACCAGCCCGACCGGATACACCAGCATGCATTTACACATTCGCCGGTTTCTCTCTTTCCGAGAGCTTCCACATGAACACACTTGTGCGCTTTGAACTTCCACATTCCCATTCGCCAAACCCCATCGAGGACAATGCCCTTGTCCAGCTACAACCCACCTGTTGTCGGGGAAAGTTGATCAGTGGGCATGGACTACTCGGCTGTCTGTTGTCAATGGCGCCTCGATCGAGGGTAATGGAAACTCTAGTCTACACAGCTCTGAGTGCATTGCGTCGCCGGCTAACTTCGCGAGATCGTCGTTGGTGTTTGCGACCGACTGTTCCTCCCGAGGCACCACAACCCGCTCCAAGAGATAAACTATGCATGGAGTATTGGCGAGGACGTCTCTATGCGTTTGGCGGATATGGACCTAATTTCGCTCCCCCACCGTTTTGGCCTGCACACGTTGTTCACTGGCCGTTTTTATACGACGCGAGTAATCCGAACGAGTGGTATATGTGCGAGCAAGATCGTGGTTGGAACAACCAACTGCTGGTTTACGATGTATCCCTAAACGGTTGGAAGTTAATCACCTTGGATCAAGCGACTGGTAAAGCACCATCGGCCAGGGCGGCTCACCAGTCTGCACTTTACGAGGATCGTGGTTGGTTATTCATTTTTGGTGGTCGAGGACCTCCGGTCGATCAGTCCTCTCCAGTCAGGCGATCCAGTGTTGGGCTTAGTTCACGAGAAAGCTATGAAGCAGGACGGCTCAACGATCTTTACTGTTTGGACTTGCAGCTAATGAATTGGACTCGTGTCGTCACTCCCCTCGATGTGCCGGACATCGGTGGTCATTTGTGGCCCTGCGGAAGGTCTTGGATGGGGATGTCTCTGAGGCAGGCATCTGACGTGACTGGAACGGCTTGGCCTTGTGTTCTTCAGGACAGTTCGTCTGTGGACCGACCAGCGCGGCAAACGACAATTCAGCTTTTCGTTACGGGTGGCTTCTCCAATTCCGATGAACCATTGGCGGATGCCTACCTAATCGAAGTCTCTCAATGCACTCTTCACAAAGATCTCGAGGCTCGTGTCATTTCATGCACGACCGAAGCGGTGGGGGAGTCTGGCGATTTCATGCGAACTTTTATTCCCTTGACTACGCCAGAGCTGATTGATGGCTTTCGATGTCCAACTGAACCACAGGTCACTGAACGAGCTGTGACGAAGCTACAGCAGGCCATGAATTCGCCCCCTTCATCCTCGGATACCGACGAAGATGTGGATCGCGCACAAATCCACGCAGATATCAATCATCTTGCCGCGCATTACACGCAGCTCACTTTCTCCCCGAATATCCCCTCGCCCGATGATGGCGAAGATGTCCATCTGATGGATCCCACGAAACCGTTTTACCACATTGCCCGAATCCACTCAGGTTTTGTTTTATTCCTACTAAGCCAGTTTTCCATGTACACCGTGGTTGCTGCACCCACCCTCGACCCGGATCCCCCGAACCGCGACTATTTGAATTCCACTGATCTTTCTCAACTGGTCGCTGATCTGGATCGTCTCTGTTCTCAGTTATTGATGACCATGCGCCCCACTGCTCATATTCTTTCCGTTTTAGCCCGACTTTTTATCCGCTTCATGTTACCCTGGGAAATGCTCGCCATGATTTTGCAGGAATCGGACGCTTGGCTTTCCGATTCCGCAAGAACGCTGTTGCTTGACCAATTGTCTTCAGAACTAGCCGGTTCTACCAATCCTAATTTGGAGCTAATTCTTTCCGCACAACACGTACTGGATAAAATTGCCATTTTGCTCCCCATCGACGCGATTCGTTTCCCACCCCCATTTCATGAGCACATTGTCAATGCGAACAACCGTTTGTCTTACCATGTACAACACACAATCATCTCTGTTCTTCTATGGTCTGGCAAAGGTCCATTGAGTGCAACCACCGAACTGATGCACGCGTTTCCAATCAGACCACCATCGACCAGATGTTATGTTGTTCAGGCCAGTCCATCACCCCGTTTCTGGCATACAGTCACTTACAGCGCGTTAGATCACTGCTTTTACGTGATTGGTGGAGCGACTGCTGCATCACGTGAACACCCTGTAGAATGTTACAGACTATTTGAACCCATGTCGCTCACGGGTTTGTGTTGTAATTATTTATCTGGCTGGATTTTCGAACACTCATTGAATCAGTTCTCAGCGACGCTCAAACAAATGACTCGCACTCGACGGAAGTTTGACCTCGTTGATCGACCTTGTACAGAACATTATCAACTTCTCAAGGAGGCGAAATGCGGTTGCTCCTTCTGCACCAGACTACATCACGTGATGAATGCATCCGCTGAACGAGAGCTTTCTAGGTGGCTCATGTGATCCGATGTCTCTTGCTCAGATCTTATCATTTTGCGTTTACCTTCCTTATTTTACTGTTGCGCCTTCCAAAAATCCCCTAATCCAGATAGAAGCTGCATTTATGACCAAATTGTTGTCGAGTTTTTTGTCTACATTGGTAGGTTTGTCTCAATCGACCGCGGGAACAAAAATGTCCGGAGACTGACTGCACCCTTCCCGTTTACGGCATTTCTTGGTCCTGGACGGCTTCCCCAACATCTTCAGCTTGGAACATTCCTTGATGCAGTTTGTGAAAACCGCTCACACTATCTCGAGTGTTCCGCAACGCTTCCGCTATCTTCGTTTAGTCGCCGTACTTTACTCTCATTGGAATTAACATGTGAAAAAAACCTCGACCGGATGCGTATCAGAACAACTCCGGACGTCTCGATGACAGTGTGAACAGCGTCTTCAAGGGGAGTGTTGTGTCACACAGGTGCGCATATCCACAGTGTTAGAGCCTTGTATTCGGTTTATACGGACTCCCAGCCGGGCAGGGCCGCTTCTAGTGTCTGGTCATTGGTTTGTTCGCCGAGCTGGGGAATTCGATTCCAAAACGTTTTGCCACCAATCCAGTTGACGTCATCAAGCCATGAGTCAGTGGTTGTGCCAAAGACAACAGTCACTATCATGGGTCAATAATTCGTGACTTAAATAGGGACAGCGATAAGATCACGATGCAATCATGTTTGGTGGGAACATTAAGAACGCACACGGTTCACGGAATCGCAGCGTTTCGAATATTCGGTCGGTTTACGGACAAGTAACTCGATTAGTATCAAGTTTTTATGGATTGTTCGGTTAAATTAAACCCCTTTGGTAATTCTGTGGCCGCGTTTTTATACCCAGTCTGACAGTCGTTGACTCAGAACCATAGCTCGTGTGGGTTGGTGTCGCCGAATCCGTAAAGAGGCAGTTAGAAAGCGTGTTTTCGATTATGCAACGGGTACTTCCATTGAGGAATGTGTCCAGCACCAGAAGCTGCGTTGGTTGGGACATGTGCTGCGTATGCCGAACCATCGCTTGTCGAAGAGAGTGCTATTTTCCATGCCCAACTCAGAGTGGCGTAAACAGAGAGGTGGCCAATCGTTGACCTGGCGGAGGAGTATGAAGGAGATCACGAAACGCTTGGGTGCTGTCGGTGCTACTCGCCTTCCAGGATGGGGACCGCGTGATCCTCACTGTGCCTGGTTAAAGACACTACAATATGTGGCTGCCAACGGATGTCAGTGGCGTTCTTGTTGTCATTTTCTATCCGGATTGCCTGAGTGAATGTCTGGAGGCGTAGGCACCTCGGAATGATTGTGTTAAGCTAGCACTAAGTCCCTTCCCCGTCCACCTTTATTCTTTTCTTTACAATAAGGCTTTCAAATAAATCATGGGATGATGATGATGATGATGATGATGATGATGATGATGATGATGATGATGAGACAAGAAGACACGAGAGAGAATGATTTCGTGCATGGATTTATTTTTTTGTACAGGCATCTCTTGTCCGTAGTATAATCAATTCATCTCCGTTACCACCAAAGCAAAAAAATCATTTGCAATGAACTTGTGGTGTACGGGCTGGACACTATCAGGGGTGCCCAAACCTAAACAGGAGGACGATTAGGGTCCTCAACCAAAGCCTCTGGCTCAAAAGCCTGATCACAAAGCATCAGTGTTTAGCGACAAATTCAAGCGCGTTACCAATTTAATAGAACAGGCCGCCGCACATGTTCCAACCCCCCAACTTGAAGGACCAGGAGACTGTTCGTCAGACCTCTATCCATTGACCAACCTGGTATGGAAGACTCTGCGAGTGCCGCGCGGACACCCCCGAGTATAGCTCAATGTATCGCTGAGGTGCGCAAACCGTCACACCACGGTAAGGTCCAGTCTCTTCGTAAAGGATGGAACAGAAATCCAGTAGTCCTCATCATTCAGCTGTACGATCCTTTCGGGTGCCACCTAGAAGAAAACATGGGTTTTGAAGTAATGCTAGGATGCTCAAGCCCCTTCCGTTCTATAAGTCCGCATTCTAACCACTAGATTTTCTCGAGCTCGAAAACTAGTATGTGTTTCTGTATGTTTCTCCTTGAGGAAAGATGGCAAAGTGGTTAATCTTGTTACACGAAAATGAAGTACGGATCGACTGTCGTTACCTCACAAAGCTACTGGGCAATCTACCTGGGGTTTCCTCTGTGTCTGCTGATAGCTCTTGCAGATGGGAAACTCACTGGTGCTGAGCGGATGGATGGGTGGATCAACGAAACTGAGAAACTTCGGGAAGTCAGTGTGTAATTTAGAAAGCGACCTCGAATAGTCGCCCACTTGAAAACGCAAAAAGTAGTCTTATCTTTGGCCCCTTAACCGAACAACCTACTCAGTCGAGTGCAAACTCTACAAAGATTTCTCTCATTCCAAATGCACGGACTTCGTCCATTTACTGCCTAGCAGATCAATGTCTTTCGTCAACGAACTTCAGAAGTAGGCACCATTGGGATTACGATCAGAGCATATCGTGTCGACCAGCGTCCGGGGTGCAAACTGCCATCCTGGCGTCTTCGGCACTGTGCTCGTACATTGTACACTCTTACGAACGAGCAGAAACTCCTGGTTGCCAGTCGAACTCAATGCCACTCAATTCACCTACCTTCTCCGCAAACAAGTTACCGAACTGATGTGTATAGTGTCCATCAGGGGCCTCACTTAACGCCGGAAGACGGTCTTGAGTAACTGCCTCGCCCGGTTTGCGNCGGAAGACGGCCTTGAGTAACTGCCTCGCCCGGTTTGCGATACGAATTCAATCCGAGTGCTGCATTTGCGGTGGTTCCTACACTAAACAAGTGGCCGACACTGCATCCGGCAGTTTACTGGAACCCTTTGACGAGTTTAGCTAGTCCATTACCTTTGAAGACATCACTGTAAGTGACATTTCTCGTATGTCCGATCATTCTGGCTTGGATTGACAAGCTAAACCCTTCGGACTGACCACACAATAGTATTTATTACAAAACAGGCGACCGAAGAGAATCCAAAAGCTGACTGAATCGCTTTGGAAGAAGTCACTCAGCTGTAACACCCTTCCGGTACCCAGCTGCCATGCTACCCGAAGCAAGCATGAGGGCTGGGATACTGCCAGACCAAGCCTAAGCCTGGCAGGGCAAGTCGAGCGACAGAGGTCGGGTTCGAACCACGAACCTTCCGGTCAGTAGATTCGCGCCCTAACCACTTGAGCCATCTCACCCCCTTTGGAAGAAGCACTTGACGGTCTCAGTCTGTGTACTTAGTTCACACCGTACTACCCTCAATCAAATGGACAAGCCGAGAGATTTATGGATACCTTGATACAAGCTCTGTTGAAACCTTGAGGGAGGGGATCAATGGACGATGTCATTGATGCTTTCTTAACCAGACCAAAATACACCAAATGGGAAGACTTCAGCTAAGATTATAGTTTCGAAAAAGTGATGACATTGGTTGATGTACTGCGGCCCAGGAAAACCAGAGAGCCGGGCGATGAACACCAATCAGCTACATTCAACAGCAACTGAGCCTATTTTTCGCCGTGGAGACTGTTCTTGTCAGAGACTACTCAACAAATTATTCGCGAGCGATATCGGGGCGAAGAGGAAACATGGTCTATAGAGTGGATGTTGATCGAGTAATGTGGTTTACCGTGCTTGTTCGTTATTTTTAGTAAATTTAGAAAATTCAAGACGATGCTGGGGAACGTTCACTCTCAAATACTTTGTGCAAATGAAATTTTCGATTTCGTGCCTAATAGCTTGTAACCACTTACTTCGCGTTAGCTAGTGGACAACTTTGCACTGAAGGGTGGTGTTCCTTTTATTTGGTGTCCTTATCAGGACACAAATGAAGGCCGCGGGATCAAGACGTTTTGTCCGGACTTTCGTGGAAGATTTCGACGAGGTGGCTGTGCTGAATAACGACAGGGTAAAGATCCTCCTCATCACGAAGGCGGCCAGAAGAGGCAGATTGAAGATGGACTGGGCCGCTACCATCACCCTTGCAGTGGAGTACCACTCATCGACCGACCGCTAGGAGACTATAAGGCGGTTCAAGGCCATGATGGGGCCGGGATGCGACCAGGCTCTTGACAAGTCTGTGACTGGATCGTGGCTTGCGTGAACGAGGAGTATCGCGCTAGGAATTGCGAGGACTTCCGTACCGACATTCCATTAGATGTAGGGACGGGACTTTGGTGCCGGAGCACTTGCACAGTAGTATGCGCCGTTACGCCGGTGGTTCAAGCAGCTGATTTTCGACCTGACTACATAGATAGCCACAGCAACCCATCTGCTATCTGTCGAGAACGTTTCATATCGTCACGTTGACGGCAGTGCCGTGAGTAGTTCCTAAGGGTCAATGCTTGCTGACACATTCAGTCATGTTAGAAAGGTAACTGACGGGAGCGCCACATTTTGCTGCAGATGTCACTGTATTTCTTTACTGAGTTTATCTGCAAGTAACGATAAGAAGCCAAACGATAGTATAGCGGTAACAGACTACTCATAAAGGTTGCTGGAAACTACTTGACAGCCCACGACCGGTTTCATCCATCTTAGGGCTCATCAGTTGGGCGCATGTTCTGAGTTCTCGTCAGTTTTGTGTTCTGCTTGAACCAAAAGTGGACTGATTTCGACAAATTCAACTGGACTGTTGAATCTTCTCCGAATCGGTATGCAAATGAGAGCATTGGTTAAAGTCAAACGACAGTTTAACAGTCTTGGATACCCTATTCACACGGTGTCTAGATAAGAAAGTAACACGCACGCAAACACCAACCGCTGTGTAATCATCAGGAACGGTTAGTACAGTCGCGAGTCAAGCTTTGCATCAGTGCTTTAGCTGCATTCCACAGGGCAAGGAACATCTACACAGTGTGAAAGAGCTACCCAACTGAACCTTACTGAGGATCGGTACCCGGAACGGTCGTTCTGAATACAAACACAGAACGAGCCATACTTTTGCGGCCGAGAAAATATTTTGCGTTCGCCACTTGAGAGCGAATACATATTTGCGAAAAGAATTAAAAACGGACCTGGCTGGCGTCTTCATGGCTGCAAAGTCAAGAACGACCCAGTTCAGAATGGTTTCGAAGCTCCAAAATAGCCAAGTCTGAGAAGCGACTCACGAGTTTGCCTACAGCTGCAATGACACTTGCCGGCACCGCCTTTTCTGCCAGGAAATGGTTGAGCACATTAAAATGTGGCGAAAGCCACCTAATCGGCAGTCTACAAGCAGAAACCCAACGGTTTCAAGACAGATCATTTCGTTGGTCTCAGACACTCGCTCGCAGAGAGAATTCAACTAAGCAATGTCTGCTCTGTGTGTACAAAACACCTTCCGAACAAAACACGCCGTCCCGCGTTTTTTCACCATTGTTTTTTATTAGGAGAACCAGCTCCGAACGTAACAGGACTACACAATTGCCAATGAAATGACCGTTTTCGTTGAGGCAGATTTCATTGGTTGTTCTTCACTCGCTCTTGACAGATGAGTTCTATTTTTAGTAACACTCTTTGGCCCGCCTGGAACCTTCCACATGGGCTTTGTAAGCAACCCGTTTTCCGCTGCACACGCCAGTACGCGTCAGGGTTCTATGGACTAGCTGATCCGCACGCTCATTGCCTTTCTGGTTTGGCTAAGCGCATCCGGCTATCCAGACTCGGGTTCACCGTATTAAGAAGTCATTAAGAAAACCGTGGTCCACATCAGTATCCATATTTGCAAGCTTTTATAAGCATCCGCACTCGCATTACTCTCGTTTGAATAGTCCGGACCTGGAGCAATTGTTTTGGTGGGACCACACCGGAACGGGAGAAGAACTGGTGTCCGGTTCCGGTCTTGTTAGAGAGCAAATCAGTAGTGCATATCCTCAGTCGTGAGGGGTCTGAACGCTGGACACGTAGGGCGTGTGTTACAGCTCTTAGACCAGTGTACGCTGGACGCGCTTGAACAGTCAAGTGTATTCGCACCTGAGCGATGCGGTTGGTTCGCCGGACGTCTCGAACGAGGAGCCAGTAAATGTTGATCGATCGCCCCGCCTGTCAGGAGTTTTCCAGCTAGGTAAGACCACGCACGTCTGAAACCCCTGGACAATTTTCGATCAATGGCATGTGATTGTGGAATTCGCTCCTCACGTGGACAAGTCGTAGAATTGTCAAGTTCGGCAAAACAAATATACTCATTATTCTGGTTCCTGACGAAGCCCCCCTCCGAAAACAAAGAACATCAATGCATATACAAAAACACGATTCAAAAGCAAATTAATTGCGTATCTATCACAGAGATGCAAAAGTGAATAGGTTAGATTTGAGCTTTAAGCGTGTGAAAAAAACTGACGTGGATCGGGGGTGGGGCGTTGTCCTTGCTGGACAACAAACGATGCAGATCAGAACAGAAAAATAGTCTCTTCTGGTTGGGTCAAGCGATCAGCTGTTTCCAGGTTACTGTGGGAACAAATATCGATCGTAAAAGAAACAGACTAAATGAAAATGATGGTGGTCAGTGTGCGTGGGGTCATGTTTCGGGCTTCGGGCATTGAGCATAGTTGCCAACGGATTGCGGTAACCTCGGTGAATTGTGAAAAGTAGAGGGTGTTTGCCGCCGAGATTTGGTAACAGGATAGCGCCATACTCATCGGGAGACCGTGGCGTCGTGTGACAACGCAGAACATGGGGTGAAAGATTACTGTCCCGAAGGTTGAGATGTACCAAATCACCAGAACCAGTCATAAGGAAGAGGCTTGACGGGGCAAGCAGTTTCATTTGTCGAACAGCTGGTAGTGAACCTGGAAGTTGAAGAGCGAAATCCTGGTAGTGAGTGGTGGGCAGACAGAGAAAGACTAAAGCATGCATGGGCTGAGGCGTACCTGATTTAATTAGTCCTGGATGAAATGCCGGAGACGGGGTGGGTGGAGAGAGTGGCGGAAAGGCGGTCGAAATGGATACCGTCCGGCAAGATGTTCGCGTGAGTACAGACCAACAGGTTAGTACATGTTCTGGAGGAAGAAATGCAGAAAAAAATGAGCGCCGGAACAAGCAGGTGGTTTCAGGTGTGACTGAAACATTTGAATCCGAAGTCACGAATGTCTGTTGACTTGACTGTGCTGAGGGGATTTCCGCAACAGCCAAAAAACAAAAGATGCTAGGATAATAGTAATAACCTGAATATACTACTCATAAAGCTGCTGGAAAGTCTTCAACAGCTCACGACCTGTCTTAAGGCTCATCAGGTAGGCGCAGTCCTTGAGGTTCTGTCAAACTTAAGTTCTGTTTGAACCCAAATTGCACGAGATCAGCGAAATATACTCATTTGTTCAAAGTGGAACATGAGGGTCACGGAAAGTCGGCGACCGCACCTACCTAATGAGCTCCAAGGAGCGTGAAACGGGTTGTGGGCTGGCGAAGAAGTTTCGGCATGTACCGCGATATCTCGAATATCGTACCAACTGAAACATGGGGCTAGCTGGTGCAGCACATTCAGCTGTCTAGAAACAACACCATTATTGGGAGATTCAGCTGGGTTCCAGGCTGAGTCTCCCGTCAAAACCAAATTGGTATGCAGATGAGTGTATTTCGTTAATAATCATAGCGGTTCAGCTCTTACACCTTTTCCTGTCATTATGCTGGCATCTTAATCACCGAACTATCCCGAGCTCCAGTTGGACGGATGAATGAATTCTGGTACCAATAGGGGGACTGACCTGTATCAGACTGCTGACCGCATCCAACAACCTAAACAAGTGAATGCGACCTCCAGAGAACGATGCCTGTCTATAACGGATGCATATATGGGCCACTCTTGGTGTCGCTCTACATTTGATAGCAAAGGGGTGAAAGGGAATCTGGCCCTGAGCTCTATCAACCACAGATGATGCTACTGAAGAGGCATGCGAGTAGTCTGTTCTATCGTAACTCCGCTTCGCATCTATTGGAAAGTGGGGTATATTACAGAATTTGTGGAACTGCTTTGCAGCATTCGTTTACGATTGTAACGGACATCCAGGAAAGTTCAGGAAAGAGACGGATATACAGTTTTTTGAAAAACAAGGTGCATGAGAGATTTACTTTCCTGTCCAATTGTTTGTAACTGTTTAGTTAACGTTTTCTAATAAACAACAACACCGGTGTACAGTGTCTTTGGTCCAAACTTTGACGGCAAACGATCCATAAAGTCAACGTTCCACATGCGGTGAAAACCACACCAATCAGATGTTCTCGCCCACGGCTTCCACAGCGTGGACGACCAAAGTCCAGACAGATGTTTCCGGAACAAGACTACACCGCCTCGAGTTCGCAAAGAAAATCAAGTTTATGTACAAACCAGATGCGACTGGTTCGTAAAAAAGTGGAATCTGTCAGGCCTTGCTCCCAAACTTGTGCCCACCGTTGTAGCGGTGTATACTACTGATGGAGCATTCAAGTAGACTATAGTCTGACGTCCATGTGTTGCGTGTGCCTAGCCTAGCCGAAGAGAGTGTTGATTTCCATGCCCAACTCAGAGTGGCAGAAGCAGCGAGAAGGCCAACCCTTGACCTGGCAAAGGAGTATGAAAGAAACCACGATACGTTTGGGCGCTATCGATGCTACTCGTCTTCCAGGATGGAGACCCCGTGATGCTCACTGCTCCTGGTTGGAGACGCCGCAAGATATGGCGACTTTGTTGTCAGTTTCTACCCAGATTCTCTCAATGAGTGTTTGGATGTGTAGGCACCTAGGAATGATTGTAGTTAGCCAGCACCAAGTCCCCTCCCCGTCTACCTTTTTATTCTTTCCTCCACAATAAGGCAGCGAAGCATCTGTGTTGAACACTGACGTCATGCTGTCGATGATGATGACGATGATGAGTCTGACGGCATCAGATGGGGGAGGGGTAATTCTACTACGGAAATTATCGAATCGCTCTGCACCATTCGTTTACTATTGTTTAATATACAATTAACGCCCAAGAAGGATCAAGAGGACCAGTGAGAATGTTCAGTTTTCGATAACTCTGTGCTTATGACTGCTTCGTTCGGGTTTTTCTAAACTTCTGAGCGAAGTGCTTTCTCCCATTCATCGATGGCCTGATTCTCAGGTTGAAATTTTGCACCCCCAAACTGAGTAACCGACACACAGCCTTCGACCTGGGTGCATGGTTTAGTTTCAGATTCTACGTGATGATCTGGGAAAATTGAGAACAATCATTTGACTGATCATCATCATCATCATCATTGTCAGCTGTAATAACCGCGTACTTGTCGTACAGTGGTTGTAGCTGCCACAGTTTCGTTCACCGATGATTTGGGGGGAGGGGGAAGTAGCTGCGCATTGGAGGCGGGAAGTGATAGATTAGGGCGTGGATACAGCATTGCAGGTGGACTGTTGAGTGGGGGGATTGGGAAGGGAGTTATGCATTGAAGGCAGTAGCTTGAATGCATGAGCGCCATTGAGGGCGCGACTGGGTGATGTCTGACAATGTTTCTAAACATTTATATGGCCGTCTCGGGGCCCCCATTCGGGGAGACGGCAATGCCCAGCGCAGCTGAGTTTGCTGGTAATGGCTTTTATGCTTCGCTGCCAAGTCATTGTTTGACCGCCTCTGGCACTCTTCCACACTAAACCAAAGCATCTGCCATTTGCGTATGATTCGTACAAATGATATCAAGGTGGACTGAGAAGTATAGTTAGTCGGTCTGTTCGCCGGGCCTGGCATTAGCTTGCCGCATCTGCCATTTGCGTATGATTCGTACAAATGATATCAAGGTGGACTGAGAAGTATAGTTAGTCGGTCTGTTCTCCGGGCCTGGCAATTGGTTTGCCAACGTTTCGTCCACAGTCGAGGAGACATGGTCAGTGCTCAGTTGAATGGGTTCCACTCAATTGGGGGCGAAACGTTTGCGGAGTGAGGAGTATGAAATGTGAAAATGCTCGATCATGCTCAGTCCATCTGACGTGCGTCCCAACGCCGGCCACCTGACAACTGCGTAGGGGTTAGTCAGATTCTTGATGAATTTAATGCTGTCTATCGAGTAACCTTCAATCTCTCCACATAAATACTACTAAGTATGTGCATTTTTTCCTCGAGTTCGCCTCCTCTAGGGCTTGTTCAAGGACCCGAAACGATGCTGTGCATTGATTTAGAGAAAACTGCGGTGACGTCTCAATTGGACAGCCCAAGAAATCAAATTTTTGTCAATCTGAAAATCATATCTGTAGGATATCTTGTGCTAAGGGTACATTCTACAGAAAAAACAATCAGTTGACGGGAAATGAACAAAGTCGCAGAGGTGTCAACAAACGTCCCACCAAGAGTGTGAACTACTGACCCAATTAGATCAAAGGCGATATAACCTACTGTGAAAACTTACCAGGTTCTAGATAACTCCATACGCGCGCATCTCGCTCGGTGTCCGTCGTCTGCATTGCGTCCCGGTTTCTAGGTTCTAACAAGAGGGTTGTGACACGTGACTGCTTCACACAACCACCGGGTGCGGCGGACCACGACTCCAGGAAACGCAGGGTAGGCTTGGCGAACTGTCCCTGTTTATTCTGTTCCCGGACAGTGAGCCAGTCGCACGAGTAACATGATATATGCCCGCCGGACTGACCGAACCAGAACTGCGGTGTACTGAAAAAAAGGGAACGGGGCTGGGGATGAAAGCTGGTGCTAGTGACCCTGGAATACACACAAACGAAGCGCAGCGCATCCACACTTAGTTAAACAGACCAGGCGAGTTCTTTGAAAGAGGATACGTTATTTTTGTCAACAGTGGCACGAGGAGGCTTTCCCCAGGGAGGTAGCGGTCTTCTAAGTTATGGTAGGATTCCGCTAGCCTACATTTCATGACAAATCCTGTGCGAATGGATATGGGGGTTGTGTAAAAAAAATCGTTCAGCTGTAGCACCCTTTCGGTGCCTAGCTGCCATGCCACACGAGGGCTGGTATACTGTCCGGTTGCCCAAGCCTAGACAGGGGAAGTCGTGAGGCAGAGGTCGGGTTCGAACCACGGACCTTACGGTCAGTAAATTCGCGCTCTAACCACTTGGTCTGTTCAACGCAAAACAGGTCGGGGGTGACGTCACTTCGTACATGGTGTTTCAACTACACGGAGAGAAACATGTTGCAATTTAAAGGCAAACACATGCAGACACATTCGAGTCTGCAGCAGGAAAAAGTACATTTTTTCCTGACACCTTGGGGCTGGATCTTGCTTGAGCTACGTGTACTTGGTTTTGTGTTACTCTATTACATTTGTACTGTACAGGGTATGCAACTCAGGACTGTTGGTCTAAATCCGTACAAAGTAATGTTGGCCTATGCTGAAGAAGCCCGGATTTGTGACATTCACGTTGGGAATCGCGAGCCGTGCGTATCTCACGTACTCCCGGGGAGATTAGAAGCCCAAATCGACTGGTATGGAGTTCGAGTGGCGACATTACGACATCAGTGTTCAACACTGACGATCAACAACGTGATTAACTTACTTTTTAGAGTATCCTTCGATCGTGCAACTCATCTCACGTGATACGGTGTTGACCGACTACCCTAGTAACTAATTCGGAAGAGAGAAAATACGGGAATATCGTTTTTGATCCACTTTTATAAGCGATTGCAAATTGTTCGCACTGTCGCTCAGCCGATCCCTAACTGAATGATGGTCCTCAAACTTCAAACTCAAACCTGATGTACACAGTTGAACCTCAACAAAGACGAAATAGTGCTTTTCGATCGGTTGCTGGAGGGGGGTGAATTCGGGTTCGAGCTTTGAAATTCGCTCACCGTTTCACAAAAACAAACGATCCGACACGAATGAGGGGTTATGCAAATTTCTGGGATTCGTTCCACACACTTGACCTACCTGATTTCGGATAGCGACAAACCGCAATAGACCGTTCCGTTGGTCAGTGGGACCATCGTGGAACCACAGAATCGAACACGGTTGCAAAGTTCTAAATCTGTGTCATTCACGCTAGCATGGACGAGCACCAGGGTGGTGGGATGCACGAGTGCAATCAGTTCATAACATCCTCGGCGATCCCTCCGACTAGATCGTGTGGTGTCCATCGCAAAGGTGCACATGGAAAGAGCCCGTCTCTCGCCAAAAGAGCTGAAGAACGGGTCAGAACGCCCAGGGCGGAGAGAAAACGGCTGTTCCGAATGCACAGAGTATAACCGAGTCCGCATCAAGCAGTCCAAATTTGGATAGCTAGAGTTGACAGCGGGATAGAAAATAGAGTAATGGTGGGGGAGGACAATACTGGGAGAAGATAAGTTCCACGATATATCGTACACCTAGAGTTATCTATTCAAAGCACATTTTGGAAAAAATAGAACCTGTCTTCATTGTAGACGTAAAAATGTTGACCCTGGTTCTGAGCTCCCTGGATACGTGAATGGGTTGTCTTTGAAGGGTTAGTGCAGACATATAGGCAAACTCAATGCAGTACCGCATTATAAGTTCACGTGACTGAGTCGTATCGTTCATGAATGTATTCCTCAGGAAGAGCCAAACTGACCAGTTCCCGTGAATGGGAGCCAAGTTGTCACGCTACTCGAAGTATGCATGAGGGCTGAGATGCTGCCAGGTTTCCCAAGTATTGGCAGGAGCAGCCGAGATAGGGAAGGTTCGAACCACAGACCTTCTGGTAGCACATTTACCACTGAGATACCCTGAATGACTGGTTCAACTTTTCTTGTTTTGTCAGCCATATATTGGCTAACACGAGCAGTGAAATTCGAGTTTGGTGAAATGATGGACGATGGGGCTATACCACCAGGAGGAAGCACGAGGGCCTAGAGGGGAGAAGTCGAGATGCAGAGGTCGGGTTCGAACCACGGACCTCACGGTCAGTAAATTCGCGCTGTAACCATCTACCCATCTCACCGTGATTGAAAACCAAACCGGGAAAGAAAATGACAGTTGTGATAGAGGGGATTCTACAAAGAATGACTAGACGTGCGATAGGGAACAGAGCAATGAGACCAACACAACTGCTCACCGGTAGACGATAAGATCTCCTCCAGATGTGATACAATTCACTAGAAATGGTGTGGATTTCTCTGAGAACCCAGCTGTTGTACAAAGAGCCTCGGGCCAGCAAAAACCACTACATGTAGCGCCAGGAAGATGTCCGTCGAGGCTGTTGGCAGTCAGCTTGGTGATATTCCTAAAACCGAGTTTTGACCAACCCACTGGCCAAGCAAATATTGTCCCCGTTGAGTAGCGGTCCACCAGTCGAGCTTTCTCAGTTGCAGATGGTGGATTTTGGATAAACAGGCTGGCCGGAAGCATCAGAAGTAAGCCCATCTTTTCAGATGCCTTTTCCACGGGCTTGTTTGGACAAGATTGATGATCGCCATCGCGACAGCGGTATCCACCGAGCCAGAGATTTTGCAAAGGATCTGGAAGTTGACCGAAGCGAAATGAGGATGTAACAAGATATGGTAGATCTTAGCTTATCGATTGGGATAAGACGTTTAGAGAGCTGAAACCCAGTTTCAAGTTGACAATCCGTCCGAAATGGTGTGATGCGACCGATATCCCAACTGAACTGCCTTGAGCTCATGAAGGTTCAAGGGACTAAGCAGGCAAAGCCGATTCATAAAGCGGCGAAAAGCGAAACGGTCGTCCGGACATACTGTGAATGTATCAGACAAACTCACCGATTAGCGCACATGTAACCACGTCCAGGGATTCAAGGCGATGAGCCACGCGAACGTGAGGAAGCACGCTGATGGGTACGGGATAGCTGCAGTTTTGCGATCGATCGGTAATCTCTACGGACCTTCGTACATCACATCTGGGTGGACTACGAATCCAAGGGATGTCAGTCAACTCGGGTGACCACCAAGGTGCTGTGAGCTGTGATATGGCATGCGCGGATGGGCGCTGGTTCGGATCACCAGACCAACAAAGGGACATAAGTTCGAGCAGATGCACCGGACAACGAGAGGTGTACTGTCACGTGAGCAAACAAAACGGGAAGGCAATGACAACCCAGTGATATAAGGGGCTGTGGGAGAAGTGATTCACGAGTGAAATGTTACTCACATGGACAGGTATGTCTGGTCGTTGGTTTGACAAGACCCGTTGGACCATATCGAATCGTGTGGATGGAGATTGTCGATAGGCAGGTGCAAGTTTGATCAGTTCACAGATTAGTATAGATAGCGAGTAGATATCAACCTGCGAGAAAAGACGGATAGTGTCTGTGAGTGGTTGTAACAAAAAGGGTTTGGACCACGTGGGTTTTGTCAATACGATGATGGAGTGCGAGTAGCTTCCATGTTAGTTGTCAAGATAGGTGAAGGAAACAACAGAAAATCAGCGACGTTTGAAGCCTAACCGCTCATCCACATCGTTTGTTGCACGTACCGTTAAGAATCGAACTGGCAACGTGTGTACATAATCCCATCTAAACTCGAAACAGCTCAAAAACGAAGATATAGACTCAGATGAATATGGTGAGGAAACAAGTGATCACTTACTTTTTCCGTATATGTCTCTTCTCCCAGATAACGTAGAATTTCCGGTGCCATATAGCCAGCAGTTCCAACGTAACCGCGATATCCATCCGAAGGTGATGTGTGCTGGCTAGCACCGTAGTCGATGAGGACAATGTGCACCAAACGTGGGTCGCTATCTAACATAATTCGGCCTGTACTGTGACTTGGTAGAGATGGAAGCGTCCACACTAGTAGATTGTCTGTCTTGACGTCACGATGAACGATATGCAAGCCATGGAGATGAGCCAGGGCTGTGGAAACCTAATGTGAAAAAAGAGCCATGGGGGAATCAGTCTGCCCGAAATGAAGTCGATATCGGTTACAATCGGTCTCGCAGTCGACCTGAAAACCGAATTAATAGTTGTCAGGTTAGAGGACCCCTGTTAAAAAAGGAATTCCGCCGAAGACCTAGCTTTGATCAAGCGCCTGAGTATGGATGGGACTTTACTATGCATTGCAGTCCCTACGAAAATGCCTCTTCGGTCAAGGGTTTTGCATTGAACTTCGAGCCGTAGGGACATCCGGGTGTTTTTTATCACGGAAAACAATCAAACTTAGCAATCATGGTTGGTGTAAATTCCTGGTTGTTAGGCGATTTGTCCGCACTTTACGCAGTCCTGGAAGGAGAAGCGACTTCAGACGAGCGCACAGTCGGAATCCATTCTAACCAACGGAAATGTGATCAATTTGGAGGACACCAAGTGGCCCGACGACTTCGGTTATTTCGAAATTTAGTGCTGCATAGAAATAGCGTGTGATCAGCACACAGGTGAAGCCATCGTTCACCATTGTCCGTACGTACCGAGTCCAATCCACATCGACCTCCTAATTGAGTCTCAGATACGCTTAGCCTGCCCACTTGTGCATTCAAGAGGCCATAAAACTTTTAAGGTGTCGTGGCTACCATGCTACCCGAAGGAAGCGCGGGGGCTGAGCTACTGACAGACTGCCCAAGCCTAGGCAGGGACGGCTAATATATAGAGGTTGCGTTCGAGCCATGGACCCTATGGTCGATAAGTTCTAACTGCCATGGACCCTATGGTCGATAAGTTCACGTTCTAACCACTAAACCATCTCGAGAGTATGGAATAGAGGACAAACTGCATATAGAAGTCGAGTCAACTCTGTCATTGCACAGCTCTAATATGTCAGAAATCCAATGGCAGCGAGGTGGCCAGGTCGAGGTTTGACAGCTGAGACTGAATGATGAAAACTGTGCTGCATTTGGCTACGAATGGTATATGACACAACACATTGATGTCGCTACGGAATACAATCGAGAAGCATTCAAGGGAATTCAAGCAACAGTCGCTCGGTTTGTTGGACGATACTATGTGTGCAGAAGCGTTTACGACGGAAACGCATATCTTGTAGAACAGCCGGGAAACAAGGGCCTGGTAACAAAGGAATTGATGCAAAAGAGCTCAGCGTCTTCAAAAACACAATGCTCACACCTTAGAAGAGCACGGCAACAATTCAATCGGAGCCGGCGAAACGAGCGCAAAACAGAAGGGAATCAGGTTGTCCATCAGGTTAGACAATCACAGCATGCTCGCGCTGGTATCATTTACGGAGAACCACGTGGTCCGTAGCAAACACAGCGGCAAAATCACAAAGCACTCGACTCGGTTGCATCCGCTTTCACTCTGAATAAAAGCCTATGGTCCAGCACGAGTTTGGAGTGAAAACAACAGTGTTTGGAAGTGCGAAATGCATAACCCCCCAAAAAACTAAACCAGCCAAGTACCAACGATTCTGATTCTCTTACGAGTCCTTGGATGCGGATAGGCTGCGGTCAGTCAGCTCTTGCATCGTGACCAGAAATCTGACGGCAGATTGCAAGGGAATGCTTCTTAAATCAGGCCAAGACCTAGTTGCAAAACACCACCGATACTGTGAATTTGAAGTTAGCCAATTTCATGACGTAAACTGATTTAAAACAGTTAGGACAACTATTTTTGGACGATCTCGGATTTCAGTTGCCAGTACTTGTACCATATGACGTTAGGGCTGAATGTAGATTTCAATGTGGGTACTGTGGAAAACGAGGTCAGAGCAAGACAACAGACGTGCACCGACGCATTGTTTCAACGGCCTGCTAGACAAACAGGACTGAATCCTATATGTCACCATCGAAGAGATCCCTCAAGGATGATCCTTGTTCAGAAAATTACTGCACCAATCTCTTGGAGAATTGGATTTTCTTCCTGTGATAAAAACTGTATTCAGGAGAGAACAAGGAGCTTGAGGGAGATGGCACTCATCCCAATTTCCAGCATGCTGTTTATATCCGCGGTATGAGTGAAGAGTCTCCCGCCGAACTGAGATATTATACGCAACTAAGACATGCCTGCAACAAACCTACCGAGATACGTGAGAATTAAACAGCTGTTCCATTAATCGTAGATTTTCCTCATTCGGTTAGAATCCAGACTGAAACTACAAAAGCCTCCTGGCTACTTACATAGTTCAAGTAAATTCCTCGGAAACGAAAACCCCACAGTTCGCACAATCATTCCGTAAATGAGTCAGTTCTACCCGATCACGTGTGGGAAACCGTACGGCTGAAAGAAGGGGCACTATGTCCTATACGAAAGCAACCTCATTGCGTCCTTAAAAAGACATCAACGGCTGTCTCAGCACAAACAGACATCAGGAAGAGGGTGGGTGAAAGCGGCAAAATCTCCTCGGATGAAACTCACTGATCGGACCTTGCGAAACAGGGGAAATACTAAAACGAGGTCCAATTGATCTCATGTGATTTATCCAACAAGGTGGAGTGACATAACAGCAAGAATCATGGGAGATACAGCCTGTATTGCCTCATTGCCACCATAAACTGGTGGAGCCTGTTCACGATGGGAACGTCAAAAGTGTCGATATTGGGGCAGTAAACGATACCTGATATATGATGGACATCATGGTGAGCGGGTGCATTGGGTGCATATATTGGACGGCATTCTTCTGGCGTTGTGGGTCACACGAACCAATCTGGTTCGACGTAGAGTAATCCTCCAGACGTTTCAGATAGGCAGCCAAGGTCCCGTTCGGCGCCAGAGGCATCAAAAGTCCAAGGGGGTTTGGAGACAGAAGTCCAAGACAAAGGAGCAGATACGGCGGTAAAGCAGGATGCTGGGGTTCTGGTTCATGCCGCTGATCCACCTCCTGCGACCGCTCCTCGTTGCTACGCAGTTGAACAAGCGATCGTTTGCGTATTTGATAGGCTGTGGCAAATCGAGAACCGCTGGAACCAAGAAGTACTTGGGATTTCGGTTGAAATTTTCGCAAGCCCTTCGAGTTGTCCGATCCACGAATTCGTTCGAGCATATTCAGTTCAGCTCGAATTTCCTGGAATGGCATGGAATAGAACATGACATGCAAGGACATGCTAAAGTAACATATAAAACGGCGCAACTGTGCCGACCTCGTTTGGGCAAGGATGGTTTGAATCATAGTTTTTCTGACTATTCACGAAATCACATTGAGAATGACAGCATGCTATACGAATTGCTTTCTACAGTAGTTGTTCCGACCTACCAAGTAAGCCGTTGTACACGCTTCGACGGAATTATCGGACCACCGCCGTTGCTCCTGGCGATAAAGTGCCAGAGCATCACGGAGCTGTGCGTTGTTGTTGTTGTTGGTTGTCCCGTTGAGTTGGACAATTTCGCGGCGATGGTCCAAATTCCAGGACGACTGTTCCAAATAGTCACGAGTGTCCTCAAGCCTTGGGTGTACCGGAGTAGTTAATTTTACGGCCACATCCACGGTCCCGCGAGGCTGTAAATCAATCGGGAGTAGCGGAGAATGATCCAATTGCGGTAGCCACGGAAAAAGGAGAGGTTAAATGAGGAAAGATAATAGGAAACCGTTGGTAGTTTGTTTGTAAGCCGCGCTTGATCGAGCGAACTCGTAACTACGTTTGAGACCAGCAGATAAGGGAGGAAAGTCAGATGATTGGACCAACAGAGTGGTGTGCACCAAGAACTGCAGTGTGTGTTGACTGGTGGGATGAGATAACAATGGGCCGGTAGTGTAGAGGTCACGCAAAGCGCAATTGGTGGCTAACCATCTGTGATGCCCTATTTTGAAATGAAGAACTGAAAATCGTTCAACAGAATCAAAACGTTGATCAAAACCATACGGTAGTAATACCAGGTAATTCCACCTAGTATAGAATGCTCACTCAACAAAATGATACGAACAGGTGGGACGGACCGGGGCGTACCTTTGCAGATCCCGCTACCCTGGTATATTGACCGGAAAACACTGAGCCAAACGCGCCACGGCCGAGAAAACGCATCAATTGTACCGCATCAGCGGGGACCAGTAACGTTCGACTTACATCTTCAAAGTGCTGAGGAAGCAGTATGGAAGAAACGGAGAGAAAAAACGACTGTCAGTTGGGACGACAGAGTAGACAACAGTTGCTGAGGAATACACTACTCATAAGGTTTCTGAAAACTCTACGACGGCCCACGACCGGTTTCGACCTTTTTGGGGCTCATTCCTCGAATCTCCGTCAACCTTATGTTCTAATTGTATCCTGATTGCATGAAATCAGCGAAATACATTCATTTGCATAACAACTTGGTTTTGACGGGAGACTTGCCCGGAACCCAGCTGAATCTCACTTTCGTGATGTTCCTAAGCAACTGAGTGTGTTGCACCAGGCCGCCTCATGCTTCAGTCGGTACGATATTCGAGATATTGCGATACATGTATAGACGTATTATATTACTCATAAGGTCGCTGAAAACTGCGACGGCCCGCGACCGATTTCGCATTTCCACCTCGGGCTGGCTCATCAGGAAGTCGCATTCCCCCAGATTCCGTCAACTTCATGTTCGACTTGAATAACAACCTGTATGCCATTAGCGAAATACATTCGTTTGCAAAATAATACGTCGGTTTGATGGAAGACTCAACTAAATCCCGATTAAATCTATCGTTCAGTATATTCCTCCACTAGATGTGCCACACAAAACCCGCCTCATGTTGCAATCCGCACCATTGTGTCGCCCACAACAAAGGGTAGTGTTTTCTGCTTCAGCGAGATGTGTAGTATTGCATACCATTGGCAGCGATTGTATAAGCCGATACACTGTTTCGATAATGATAACAAATAAACAATTGTTCAGCTTTAACACCGTTTAGGGCGCATTGCCGTTATACCGCCCGAAGGAAGCACGAGGGCAAGCTAATATAGGAGTAGTTGGGAAGCTCGGGGGTTGGGTTAGAACCCCCCGGATCTTCCGGTCAGTGATTTCCCACCCTAATCACTGAGATATCCTGAGTATGTATCGACAATGCATCACAAAGATTCTCGGGGTGTTTGGCTGTGGTCATTGGTAAAGCAGGTAAAGCAGTTGGTTGAAATATTGGTAGTCCGGATACGTCTGTTGGTTATTGATCATATAGGCGTCGATCAATCCGCTAAGCTTGGCAGCTAACTTGCAAACGCTTCGTCACCAGACGAGAAGACCGTGTCATTTGCGTGTGTGTGCATTGCACAGGAAGAGTATGCTAATTCTTAATGTGATTTGCTAACTGGGAGACCGGTATCGTCAATTAGTTTGGATTAACGCACACTCATATTGGGGGTGGCGTTCGCGCTACTACTGAAAAGAAGAAGGCCTTCGCTGCGGAGTTATTTATTAGAAAATGCCAACTGAACAGTTAGAGACTATTGGACAGGGGAGCAAAACTCTCATATGCATCTTGTTTAAAAAACTGAATACCCATCTTCTCCTTGAACATGTCTCCATGAACTTTCCTGGATACTCATTGACTGTTACTTAATTGCAAGCAAATGCTACAGAGCAACTCCGCAAATTCACTTTTCAAGAGACGCAAAGCGGATTTACGAGAGAACATACTACTCGCATGCCCGCCATCAGTAGTATCACCGTTACACTATGATTCACAGCCGCACATATCCAGATACGGTGGGTGTATTGCTTTCCTGTTACGTGTACTGGACCTCTTGCAGAGGATTTCCGACTCATCGCACGACCATTGAAAGGAGCTTCGAGACGAACACAATAATGCTTCTCGCCTAGAGTTCCTTCGAATACCAAACACTGACTTCCAAGGATACATTCAATTAGATCAAAACCACTCCCATTCACCAGCACCTATCAGAGAGATCTACCACCTGTAGGTAATACCGTTGAGCTAAATTCTACTAAGATCTGACGTGAGACAAACGTTAATGTCGAAGTGAACAACAGCCTTGTCAATGTTGCTCCGATAAGGTGAGCGGTTGGCTAATTAACCCTGACTAAGGTGTTGTTATACCACAACAGGATATACCGCCGACCGTGACGGAAGTCTACGCTGCACGCGATGCCGACTGCCCCTGAGTAGTCGCATCAGAGTGATATTTGTGGGTCGACAACCCAACAATGGCCTGTGTCGATCTACCCAAATTTGGCAACAGTGGGAACTACTTGATGGGGAATCGCTCTTTCGGTGCGTATCCATCAGGCGATACGATATTTTGAAATGCCGACTGGACGGACGCTACCAAGGATGCTGACAGACCCGATCGCTTCAAACGCCACGCAGTTTATATTTCATTAGGCAGCATCAACGCGTTATATTTCGTTTTAAGTTTAGTGGTTGTAGGGTTTCTTGAAGTCAGGCTTGATTTTTGAGAAACGAGATCCAAAACGAATTACACCACCAAACTCTGCTCTACAACCCTAAGTAGATTTGCTTACTCATCCTTCCATTCACCCGCCCAACTGCTTAACCGTATACTTCATCCATAGATAACAATAGTTTAACTGTAGAACCCATTCGGTGCCTAGCTGCCATGCCACATTGGGTTTGAACGCTGAGTCTCTGTCAGGTTACCCAAGCCTAGACAGAAGAAGTCGAGACGAGGAGGTTGGGTTCGAACCACGGATCTTCCAGTCAGTAAATTGGCGCTCTAACCACTGAGCCATCTCAAGCTTTCCAATACACACTTAGAAGCAGCGTTTAGCAGGAGGCGGGAACTGATTAACTGGTGCGTAAATATATCACTGTTAGTGGACTGTCCAGTGGGGAGATGGGGAAGGGAGCTATGCATTGAAGGCAGTAAGCTTGTGTGCCACTGACGGCCCGACTGGGGCATGTTTGACAATGTGTCTAACCACTGATCAGTCCCGTCTCGGGGTTCCCATCAAGGGAGACGGCAATGACCAGAGCAGCTGGTAAGGACCTTCATACTTCGCTGCCAAGTCATAGTTTGACCAAATCTGCTGCCGAGCTGAGACGATATAAACTGAGTCGAAATCCGGCAGGCTCGCCTGAGTTCTACCTTCCCCGAAGTCATATGTTGTCAGGATGTCTTTCGTAGCTGACCAATTGCTGACCATGAACAACAGATGTAGTCGACCTTTATTTGAGCATTTCAGGCCTAATATGGAAAGTAAAACTTGATTGGCGTGAGAAGGTGGTATTCAGTGGAGTAAGCAAACAAACAAACAAAGTAAACGATCAGTTTCTTGTGCAGTCCCATGATAAACAATTCATGTGCAATTTTCTCATGACGATGAGTGACCGGAATTCGAGTAATGCCCATGCGTTAAAGTGGGACTCTTGAGGCCATTTGGACTAGGCAAAGGGAATACAGTACGCCCGCTAGAGAGCGCACACACTCGAATGAAGCAGTGATCCTAATCTGCACACAGATCGTACTGTTACGTTCCCCTCGGGACTATAAACAAGTTTGAAAGAATCTTCCCAGTTTCGACAGTGTGCATGGTTGGGACCAACTAGTGTGAAAATTGGAGAGTTGGCTGACAAGGTATTTTGGTCGACCTCGTTCAGCTGTAGCACCCTTTCGGTGCCTGACTGCCATGCCACCCGAAGGTAGCACGAGGGCTAGGATACTGCCAGGTTGCCCAAGCCTAGACAAGGGAAGTCGAGAGGCAGAGGTTGGGTTCGAACCACGGACGTTCCGGTCGGTAAATTCGCGCCCTAACCACTTGGGCCATCTCGTCCCCTTCAGTCGACCTACCAAGTCTGGTGCCTGGAACGGTGTAGAAGGATGGATTGGGCAGTAGAGTAGCGACGCGTCTGAAAGCAATCTGTTAGGTATATCCATGTTGGCACAGGTCGACTGCGACCGGGGATGCACTGTGAGCCAATGAATGTATTCACTGAGTCGGATCGCGTATAGTCGGCGCTCGTCAGACAGCTGACCATCATTGGTGGATAAAAGTTCCGCCTCGGCAGAGTGCGCGCGATGGAAGAAACGTTTTCTGTAAGTAAAAAAAAGCACAGGGGTAAGAACAGAGCGTTGGGGAAGACAAGAGTGCGTGCTGAAATGTCGTGCGTGTTGGAATCAAGCGCATTGCAATGAAGACCAAGTGAAGAGCAAAGGACGAAATTCCACGGATAGGCATACTACTTTCGAGTCAGATGGGCGGCCGACAGTCAAAATGGAAACCACTGGTCTGCTCAATGCAATGACGACGAAGCGTTTCAACATCAGTGCTAGATAGCAAAGCAGTTGTTGTCTAGAAATACACTCATTTGCAAATCAATTTGGTTTTCACGGGAGACTCAATTGAACCTCTCGTTTATGATGTCCTCCAGCTGGATGTGCTGCACACAGGCCGCCTCCTGATTCAGTTGGCACGATATTCGAGATATCGCAGTATATTTTCATAAAGGAAACTACTCACAAGGTTGCTGGAAAGTGTTCAACAACCCATGACCGGTTTCGCCTATCCTCTTTATATCTACTGGTAATAAAGTGTCGGTCTTCTGAGAGTCGAGGAGATTTCAGCAAGCTTGTGAGTAGTTTCCAGTTGTCTACTTTTAAGCCAGCGGTTCTGACAATGAATCCTACGGCCCAGTGAACGACACGACAGAGACTACTGATCAAAATCGGGCGTAGCACAACACGGTTAACGCTACAAGCGGTCAACCAGAGCAGTAGTTTAGGCAACAGGGTTCAGTGCGGTCACAAACAATAAAGAGCGCGTTGATGAATTAATGGGCGGGGTGTGGAGTCATGGTAATCATTAACAGCTGTAAACCGGGTACAGGTGGTACAGTGGCTGTAGCCAACACAGCCATGTTCACCGATGACGCGGGGGAAACCAGGTTGACAGGCTGGATGCACGCGACTGGACTCTATCGGCCAATGGCCTTAACCACCGACGTGTACAGTCCCCATTCAGCGAGAAGGAAATGACCGAGGTGGGGAAATTCGCTGGTTTTCAACCTCGCCACAAAGTCATGACTTGACGTCCTCTGGGTCACTTCCACCCTCCGCAGTGAAGTACCAGTGCCAACACCGATGAATATGTGTGCGTGTGGTGGGAGATAGGAGAGATGGATAGCTCGAAGATAAAATCACCCAGTAAAGAGCCAACTGGGGTTGGTGAGCGTCAATAAAGGAGGGTCTGACAGTAGCCAGTCTAGCGTCCGACAGAGCGAAATGATCTTCGGAAGCTATGGAAGAGGCCATGGTAGAAAAGTACACGCATAAAGCATTACTACTCTGACACAAGAAATTTATGATTGCCAAAAAACCCAAAAGTTGGTGAGTATAGCTAGAAAAAGCTGATCGAGATGGTGACATTTTCGGTGGATTGTCAAGGAACCTAGTGAAGGGGAACGAGGAAAGAGTCCCTTATCACTATTTCATAGTCTTTTCGGCATGACAGTATGTCCCACCTCAGCGAACTGTGGAAAGGAGAACCGAAGCTGTCAACATTAAATGCTGGCGTTCAGGTGCCACATCACTGCTGAGAAAGAATGTCCTACCGAAGAAGATAGAAACGGAAAGGTGGAAAGTTGTTTCCCCTGAAGGAAAGAACAAGACATTTGAACGTTCAGCTTCGCTTGAACTAAAAGCTCTGGAATTGGTGTCGGGTAAGACTCCACCTATGAGATCGATAGAGAATCGCTTGCGAATCAGACTGACAGGATGATTGAAACCGTACGGCAGGAATCTCATCACACTACGTAAGCAAAACCGTGCAGTAATGAAGACCTTTGTGTGCAGCTACACGCGCGTTGCAGCGTGCGTTTAAGTCCTTATCAAGACAAACCGGGCGCAGCTGTACTGCAAGACGGACAGCGAACAAAAAGAACAAACTGCGGATGCCAGTAACACGCGCAAAGTCTGAGAGGTTGATTGGATAGTGGCGAACAACATAACCCGGAGCACGAGCATACAAGCGAAGCACACTGCGTCCGACAAAACTTACCGCCTTCGATGAACTCTTGTCCAAAACCTAGATTGTTGCAGTTTTAATACAAGATTAGGTAGGCAGAGAGGAAAACGGGCTGGATCCCATGAGAATTAGTAAAACAATGGATTGTGGAATACATTATGAAATTTGCAACGTGTCAAAACATTGGTAGGTCAGGTACGTCCGTTGTCTGTTAATCACATGGCTGTTGACTTTCGTCACTAAACGAAGAGACATCGTTGGCCCGCGGTTGAATGGGCATTACCACTTTACCCGTATGCATGTATGCAACAGTTCCAGACCGATTCGAGGGCATCTAGTTGAGCGACGGACGCTAGGACACCAGCCATTCATCAACATCATCATCGACAGCATGACATCAGTGTTCAACACCGATGTTTCACTGCCGTAACACCAGCCATTACAACCAAACGATGGAGAGTATCGGGACATAACACAATGAAAATGGGGGAGCTAGCTGAAAAACTGCCAAAAATAGAATGTATCGAGAAGACCAATCAAATCAAACGGACCGACGAGCTTACTGGTACGCTGTTCCCCAATAGCCAATCACGTTACAAGATAACTGATACTCTTCGGATGCTCATATAAACGCGCACAGGTAAGGAGAGAGTGGCCATCCAGACGTGCACTGATGTCTTCTTATTTGGTTTCGAGGTTTTTACCATTTAATTGCGTAGCTTGGCGAAAAAAAAACAGCCATTTGATCACCAGCTGTGGAACTCACAGCGCCACCACCAAAAATGCACCGAAGATGGATGAGCATACGGAAGTTAATCGGAGCGAGCTGAACGCATACATTGTTTATTTGAATGTGATGCTTGGAAAAAGGCCCGCTGGAAGTCAGTGGCGCCACACGGGTTGCATTTCTGAACTATTGTTTGCCGTCCCAGCCCAGGTTATTGCCCTCTAACTTCATTTTATTACAGCGGGGTGAAGTAAAATGCAAGAACTTGCAAAGAGGGCAAACCGTGAAGTTGTAGAGCCACAAATTGAGTTAACTGCCTGCTTCGATGTATGTGGGGAGGCTTTGAACTTTCAGATGAATCAATTAGGACAACAAATAGGGAAGAACAAAGATTTCGACTGACCGCTTTAGCCAAACACTAAAAGGACCGACTTCCGGCTACCGCATCCTACAACTGGGCAGCGATCGTTGATCGTTGGGTCTGCGGATCACAGGCAATCAGGTATGACAGATAGTTCGACGGACAAGAGTGCGTTCGCCAATGTGTACAAAACATGTTTTTCTACTGAGTGTTCGCATCTATGCATGATTAAACCCTGTTCGGGGTATGATTCCTTAGCAGGTGTGAAAAATGCCATCTCATAGGTGAAACTAGTAAGCTGTTCACGAAGGAATGAAGAATGTTCCAAAACAAGAAGGAGAAGACAAAACGGACGGAGGACGCTACCGCTTAATCTCTCAAGCAGACAAGCTAGACAGGGGGGGGGAGTGTTCGCATCTATGCATGATTAAACCCTGTTCGGGGTATGATTCCTTAGCAGGTGTGAAAAATGCCATCTCATAGGTGAAACTAGTAAGCTGTTCACGAAGGAATGAAGAATGTTCCAAAACAAGAAGGAGAAGACAAAACGGACGGAGGACGCTACCGCTTAATCTCTCAAGCAGACAAGCTAGGGGGGGGGGGGTTGGCGCTGGACAGAATCTAGTCTCACGGTGAACTGAATTTGCTGTGGGACGCAGTCAAACGTGGACCGACTGTTGGTGAGAGAACCGACAGACATCGGACAGAATAGCCATCATCAATGGCAGGTTGAACCGATACGGATACAAGACGGAAAGTTTTGGCCAAAAAGTTGGAATAACAAGTCCAAGGCCAAAGGACTGGGCAGTGAACTGTGCTGAGTATGACATATCCCGTACCTCCGAATATTTAGACTAATTTAGTAAGAACTAAACGATTACACCATTGTCTCAAACAGTTTGGTCATACCACCACCGCTCTCTTGTTTTTCGGTGACTGACACGATAGCACCCTTGATACCCTTAGTACACGATTTATAGATGACACACCGAAATGAACGGAACTCAGGAAATACCGTGTGAGAACACGAATATACAGAGATGTCAGACGTGAGGAAAAGACAGCCCCCACAAGGAGCAGGCAAAAGACCTACGAAAAAAACTCACCGACGGATCTCCTTTGGAATGGGATCCTGAACGGCAATGTGATGATCCGTTGAACTGATGCCCACAACCAGATTTGCTGAGTCCATTCTGTCCAGCTGGTTGGAAGAAGCTGATCGGATTGGATTGGTGGTTCGATCAGTTGAAAGACTACGTTGGAAGTGTACAGAAAACCCATCCTCGTTGAAAGATCTATTGGCTCGAAGGTCAGGTCTGAATGTAGACAAAAAGAAGGGAATATAGGTGATGTGGAAGAAGGTTGGCCATACTCAACGAATGCCATGGAACGTTGGCTCACATGCTTCCATTCTGCAGCCTTTTTTGCAGGCGGCGTCCTTCGGAGACTGGCCGATCAGGTTTGTTTCTCGGTTTTGTGAGGAACTTGTTCCGGGACGGCGATGCGCGAGCACACAAACATGAACAACAAGGAATTATTCGATCTACCAGATAGATCCCCTCGGTAGATTGACGAAACCGAACACCCAAGTCTGGATACCAATCTTCCAGAAGACGATCAATGTGGTCCACTAGCTAAACAGAGAGAATCACGAAATGTGGAACATTGTAGACAGTGTGATTAGGTAAACCGACAGAAATGGACTGGTGCTTAGAAGAAACAGTACAACCAACCGTAGTGAGTAGCTGCGCAATAGCCTCCCGGTTCGGTCTGACACAATCCCCGGTTTCCATATACAAATCTGGCACCGAATTCGCAGCATTCAATAGCTGCGGTTTTGTGGACCAACCATTGCTTGGACGTTGACGGCGGATCAGTCGGTGACAGGGTAGGTACAACTCGATGAGACACGTCGATTGCAAACCGTCTGACAGAAATGAGATGAACAGGACAATTCAGATTGGACTCGAGATATTTTTCGGCGCATTGAATGGAACAGTTACAGTAGAACTTACCAAAGTTCTCTGATACAAGCGAACCATTGGACTGAACGGTAAAGTCGGAGGCCAGATGAGGATGAGTTTTGATCGGTTCCCGATGGTTGCCTGCGAAACTGAGCGGTTTAGAATCTCCTGACTTGATGAAAGGCAACCAGCGCAGCAGATGGGTGTCGCGGTCGTGATAGGTATTCCGCGCAGCTCCAACAATCCCCGAGCGGTAGGCTAATTGATCCGCAGTGTTCGCCGAGTCACTTTGACCGGGTTCTGCCAGGACGTCTTCGCCCTCCACCGCGGCAACCTCCTCCCACTCATCCGTGTACCAAGTGGGAGCACGCCTTTTCCTACCAGGAGATCGATCCTGTTCACGTGGGTCAGTTAACCAATAAGGCTGCAGGGTGGGAGAGTGAGGAAGGGCTTCAAAACGTAGGAAGTAGTCTGGTGGATTACACTGCATGAATCAGGGTCAACCATGATGTATCAGCGGAAGACAGGAACCTAATGTTTCAGCGTAAAATGGTGCGATTGTCGCTAAAATACGGACAACTCGGGTGGTCAGTATGTTCGAACCTTAACCGCCAACCTATTTTGAGCTCCGGGAAATTGAAAACACGCTTTATCCTGGAATATTGAAAACAACTTCAGGGGGACAGAGAGAAAGCCAAGTAACACAAATTCTCGGAAGCTGTTTCGATGTTCTACCATTGAAAGAAAGAAATTCTTCGCTGCGGAGTTGTTCAGAAACAACAAGGTTTTGTGGACCAACCATTGCTTGGACGTTGACGGCGGATCAGTCGGTGACAGGGTAGGTACAACTCGATGAGACACGTCGATTGCAAACCGTCTGACAGAAATGAGATGAACAGGACAATTCAGATTGGACTCGAGATATTTTTCGGCGCATTGAATGGAACAGTTACAGTAGAACTTACCAAAGTTCTCTGATACAAGCGAACCATTGGACTGAACGGTAAAGTCGGAGGCCAGATGAGGATGAGTTTTGATCGGTTCCCGATGGTTGCCTGCGAAACTGAGCGGTTTAGAATCTCCTGACTTGATGAAAGGCAACCAGCGCAGCAGATGGGTGTCGCGGTCGTGATAGGTATTCCGCGCAGCTCCAACAATCCCCGAGCGGTAGGCTAATTGATCCGCAGTGTTCGCCGAGTCACTTTGACCGGGTTCTGCCAGGACGTCTTCGCCCTCCACCGCGGCAACCTCCTCCCACTCATCCGTGTACCAAGTGGGAGCACGCCTTTTCCTACCAGGAGATCGATCCTGTTCACGTGGGTCAGTTAACCAATAAGGCTGCAGGGTGGGAGAGTGAGGAAGGGCTTCAAAACGTAGGAAGTAGTCTGGTGGATTACACTGCATGAATCAGGGTCAACCATGATGTATCAGCGGAAGACAGGAAACCTAATGTTTCAGTGTAAAATGGTGCGATTGTCGCTAAAATACGGACAACTCGGGTGGTCAGTATGTTCGAACCTTAACCGCCAACCTATTTTGAGCTCCGGGAAATTGAAAACACGCTTTATCCTGGAATATTGAAAACAACTTCAGGGGGACAGAGAGAAAGCCAAGTAACACAAATTCTCGGAAGCTGTTTCGATGTTCTACCATTGAAAGAAAGAAATTCTTCGCTGCGGAGTTGTTCATTGGAGAAACACCAACCGAACAGTTACAGACTATTGGACAGGGGGGGGGCAAAACTCTCATATGCATCTTGTTTCCAAAACTGAATATCCATCTTCTCCTTGAACGCGTCTTCGTGAACTTTCCTGGATATTCATTGACTGTTACTCAATTGCAAGCAAATGCTACAGAGCGACTCCACTAATTCCGTAATAGATCTCAGTTTTCAAGAGACGCGAAGCGGATTTACGAGGGAACATACTACTCGCATGCCCCTCATCAGTAGAATCGACGGTACACCATTATCAACTACGCCACAAGCCGCCGGAAAACAACCCACTACGATTTTTAATCTGTTCTTTGCGTTTTCCAGCTGTTTTTCAAACGTCCCCTTGCTCAACCGATGGTGCATTTGCTATTTTATGCAACATAGGTAACCATTAGATGATACTTGATCGTTTAGCTGTAGCACCTAACTGCCAGAAGGAAGCACAAGGGCTGGGATACTGCCAAGTTGCCTAAGCCTAGATAGGCGAAGTCGAGAGACGGAGGTTGGGTTCGAACCACGGACCTTCCGGTGCTCATGTGGATCCACAACGTATAAAACCGTGTACCTACGATAGAATGAGATCAAAGGACGAAAACTAATTCGTCCCGTTTGGTCGATAGCTGATACAAGTGACCATCCGTATGAAGAAGTTCAATCCCACGGGGTTATTTGTGGGCCGATTTCATTTATACGACGGCGCGCATATCTAAGAGCTTGAAACGATTCCGCAATTCGAAGACATCCGTACAGACAATCGCATAAGTGAATCTCATGATCTATGCTTTGAGTAGGCAAATGACTGTGTCATCTGAGCAATACAGCCATAGTGAACCGGCCTTCAGGATGCCGGTGGCTCATAAATCGAAGTAGGATCTTTCAATCTCCAGAGTGACCTATGAGCAACCGCTAAGTCGCTTGAGGAGTTCCGATTGAAGACGAGACGACTTGGAATATAACTACTTTCTAAAGCGGAAAAAACACGACGGAAGAAGCAATTCCAGGATATCCAAGCTTAAAGCGGATATCAACGGTTCATTCCAACCATGACGTGGCCTTTGAGAAAGAACTAAACCAGGAAGTAAGCTTGGAAATTTAACTGGAGACTAATCGGGACCTTGCACCAGGTGAGATCTGACAAGGAGATGATCTGATAGGACAGGGTTCGCTTGGATTCCATATATCAGTAGACAGTCTGAATCTATCCACCAGTGAAGCAATATTCTTGGGCCGATGATCGGTCAGACCTGGAGCCGAAATGGGGCCCCGTTCACGCCTAGACGCATGGATTCTTATACTCAACTAACTCAGCACTCACTCACTCTGTGAAGGGCGCAGTTGGCCCTGGTGAATTGCTGGAGGCGAGCAAGACCAATCAGACCGTCGGCCAACGACAGACGCATTCCATGTTTCCACAAGGTCCACTCGGGTTTATCCATTTCCAAACCGGATTCCGTGGACAACTGCCCTATCGACTGCGAGATGGAATACATCTTGCTGAAAGGAGACAGAATGATGATGAAAGTGAAAACGCTGTAAACGGAAGCATGCAAAGCTGACGGTAGGGGGGATCGGAGATTTAGCTGCCAACATTCAATAATCAAACTAAATGACTATTCAGAGGGGTTTGGTAAACAAACCAAACCCCTCTGAAACGATGACTTCCCAATCGGTCCCAAACATTTTCCAATTGATTAAATGACTATTCGTTGTGATATCGTAGTTACGTGTGATCCAAACAGTTCTAACAACAAGGTTATGCCTGACAGGTTGTCTGCTGGTGAGCTGTCGCGCACGGAATGGTCTCCGGTAAGCAAAGCAAAACATGTGTGCGTGGCATTGTCCGAAATGGGTAGAGCAAACAAGCGGAGACAAGAACATCGGATTGACGCCAGTGACATACCTGCATATGTGATCAATATTGCGGTCGCTCAGGAGCCGGGAAGCCAAACGAGTCCAAAACCCCGAAGGGATGTAAGTCAACGTGTAGAGTCGGACAATTTCCTCACTTGCGACAGTCTGTACGGACCATGTGACAGTGGTTGGAGAGCGATTAGGCTTACGTCTTCGTGGCCAGCGATGAACCAGGTTAGATGGTTTTTGTGGCCGGGGAATGACCTCCTGGGAGTGATAAAACATTTGAGAAAAAAGATCTCCAAATCAGAGGGGAAGAGGTTCACACAAATTTTTCTAGAACGCAGTTCGATGAAAGCGAATGGATAATTCTGTATGAATCAGTGCATATAGCCACAGTGGAGAGGGGGTCATACAGAAACAACAAATAAGTACGGTTCGTAATGGAGGAACGCCATTAGGACTTGTAAACTGGGTTACCAACACTAAGCGTCAACAAACTAATATGATATACACCAGGTGTAAGAGTGTGCCAATACTAGTGTAACGGTGATACTACTGATGGGGGGCATGCGAGTAGTATGTTATATCAAGATCAGTCTCTAGAAAAGTGAGATCCATTACGGAATTAGTGGAGTCGGTTTGTAGCAGTTGCTTGCGTTTGAGCAACAGTCAATGAATGTCCAGGAAAGTTTATGAAGCCGTGTTCAAGGAGAAGATGAGTATTCAATTTTGTAAACAAGGTGCATAAGAGAGTTTTGCTTTCCTGTCCAATAGTCTGTAACCGTTCAGTTGGCGTTTTCTAATAAATAACTCCTGACTCCTAACCCAACTGACCTCGTAGGGTTACCGACAAACGACCAGTCAGGAATGGCTGAGGTTAGGAAGCTTAAGCCGGTTTTACTCCCAAAATGCTATAAAATCCAAGATAACTGTGTCGCCCGTATTGGGTCCCGTGACTTTTCCCGGTCTGATTCTAACCGACCTGGCTCTGAATCTGCTGACGATGCAGTATAGCGATTCCTTGCAAGGTGGGCAAATTCAGTTAAGTCCAAATCCCCAAAAATCGGTTGCCAGCTGCTTGTTCTGGTGCCAGTTGCTCCAAGAATGGACTGGTTCTGAATGACTGAGGCACCCAAAACTTGCGCACATGAACGAAAGGAATAATAATAATAATAATCTTTCAGATGTAGCATCTTTTCGGTGCCTAGCTGCCATGCCACCCGAGGGAAGCACGGGGGCTGCGATACTGTCAGGGTGCCCAAACCTAGACAGGGGAAATCGGGGAGCAGAGGTCGGGTTCGAACCATGGACCTTCCGGTGAACGGAAAGTCCAGTTGTAACCCTCTTTCGATGCCTGGCTACCATGCCACCACCCGAAGGAAGCACGAGGTCTGGGATACTGTCAGGTTGTTCAAGCCCAGGTAGGAGAGGTCGAGATACAGAGGCCCGGTTCGAACCACGAACTTTCCAGTCAGTGAATTCGCGCTCTAGCTAACCACAGAGCCATCTGGAGAAGCAGTCAAGCGTGTGAAGACTACAGGATCCCATTTGAATCGGTCAGAATGCAGAAACGACATGACTTGGTCCAATTTCCGCCATGGCCCTACGCACTTGGACGGTTTGTTCAGTTTTATAGTTGGATGTCGTGTGGGGTCGAGAAAAAATGTCTTATAACACTCATACAAAACAGGCGCACAGTTTGTTTTTGCGTTTCTGCAATAGCTCTACGGCTAGAGTGCACTGAACAAAACAGGATGACACATACGAGAAGGATCACGGAAGTCGCAGTATTCGAGGTTTGCCGTGATCTAAGTTCGACGGCACATGTGATTATGCCTCAGGGATACGTGACAAAGTACCAGATCCTGTACGAGTTTGTGACTACAACAAGAGACTACTACAACAGCTGAAAGTCAGGCGGACCCACCGAGATCCGATGCAGGGAGGCAGTTCGGGTAGGAATGTCAGCACTGCTGTCCGAACGGAGGGCATCCGATGTTGAGTTGCCTTTCCGACCCGATAAGTCGTCCCAGGACACTCGAACCGCACGCGTAGGCGCTGCCAATTCCGCCTGAGAGTTAAAACAGTGAAAGATAGACAGTCAACAAATCAAAGATACCGATTTGGTCACTCAACCTCTAGGTTAGAGAACAGTAACTTACAGCAGAACCGTAGGCTGATGTTGGTGAGACATAGGAGATTAGTTGTTGGCTTCGCACGGAACGCGTGGACAACAAAGATGGTAACAACACACGTTTGTCGTCCAGTCTCAGGGCGAGTTCCAATTTTAGGAGAAGCGGAACAATCGCTTCAAGAAGGAGGCTGATGTCGGAATCAGTTTGAGCGATTTGATATGGTTTGTCCAAACACTGCACGACCAGGTCAGCTAGATCTGATTCGGTAATGACAGCTGGGACGAGTTGGAAGTAAAGCGAAATAAAAAGAAAAACTATCGATTTTATTCGACACACGAACACGTGATTGGAGAATCATGGTACTCTGTCATCAGCTGTGCAAGGGAATGGACGCTGGAGATGGAGAGACAAACTTTGAGGTGCATGTATGCAGATGCGTGATAACGCAAGGCCGACCGACCAATTACTATGGAAATACTTAGGAAAAGATGTGAGTGAAACTCATCAGACTGAAATGCACAAGACGGCCACATCAGTTATTGCTGAAAGCCATCAAGATCACACACAGAAAATACACGAAATACAAGTAAATCATTCGTAAATGAGAGATACCGTTGAGTCTCCCATGNAGCCAGAAATGCACAAGACGGCCACATCAGTTATTGCTGAAAGCCATCAAGATCACACACAGAAAATACACGAAATACAAGTAAATCATTCGTAAATGAGAGATACCGTTGAGTCTCCCATGAAAACCAAATTGCCGTGCAAATGAATGTACTATGCCGATTTTCTGCAATTTGGGTTCAAGTAGAAAATAAAGCTGAGGGAATCTCGGGGACAGAGCCCCAAGAGGGACGAAAACCGTCGCAGGCTGTTGAAGTTTTCAGCAATCATATGAGTAGTGTGTGTTGAGCCAATCATGCTACCGATGAGGGATACGGGAGAGAGGAATTCTCTGCTAAGTTGGAACTCGAATGGGTGAAGTTCAGGTTATCCGAGGGAGGAACACGACCGATTATGCCTCCTTACCTGTATTCGAACTTGGACTTTGTAACCAAGGTAGTTCGGATGATGACCGTGTATGTCCTGACACGGGAAACTGATCACCGGTTGGCGTCTCTGAGAACGCGCTTCGACGAATCAGAGCAGTGTTCATACGTCTTGTACGATGCAAACGGGTGAACAACCGGAGAAGCAACTGAATCAGCCAGGCTGGAGACAGAAAAACGAAGGATGACAGCGCAGGATCGTTGAAGTGCAACAAATGCCCGAAATCGTTTAAAAATACCAAGACTGCATGCGATTCAGCTACTGATCGGAAGCCATGTGATCGGGTAGAAAGGAAAACTGGAGACCGTGCACGATTAGGGGGAGTCGGGTCTTCGCTGTCGCTGGGGAAGCTGTGGAGTTCTGAAGTGACAGGGATCGGAGGGGGGTCCGGTTGTTGGCACAAACGCTTGTGCAACTCGAAACTACGAAGAAGAAATAGAACAAGAACAGAATGACGGTAAAGTGAGAGAAGAAGTAGATAAAGGATTGTCAGTGGAAGGGTGACCTTTAGAGGAACGCGTGGATGTAGTTTCTCTTTTGGACGTATGGATCTATGGACGAGAAGTGCAACACACTTGAATGATCAGCAATAAAGCCATTCTTGGCGTATCTTGATTCGATGAAACCTACCGACAGGTAGGTGATGCGGGATACAAAGTCGTTGTTCTGCGTTTCTGAGAAACAGTTACAACCCGATCGCGGAATTCTAACATCTTGATCCCAATGATAGTTCTTGAATGGTTCATGCAACTCACCAGTCCTCCGATCAAACTTGACGGTGTCTGGAACTGACGTGAAGATACAGCGAAATGAACTAATCGATATAGCGGGTAGTGTTAGCAGAAACAACTGATCTATATGGAATTCCGCTGTGGGAGGGGAGGGCAGAACCGTCCCTGATTTCATTTTGAATTGGTAGGAAAGAGAAAAAATCTGACCAAAACAACAACAACAACAGCTTACATGAATCTTTCTCGGGGGAGGACAGGTATTTGAAGTGTGTGGTGTAGTTCGGCCGCAATCTGGTGTGTACAGGTAAGTGCCTGGCGGTACAATTCCGGTAAGTTGAGACCAAGAAGACGGAGGGACGGACGTGACCCCAACATCATGGCCGCGGCAGCACGACCTGGAAGAAGGCAGTAGAGAGAGCAGGGGAAAGTATGCGGCTGTGCACAACTCGACTTTGTGTTCAGCCTGGTGAACAATTTGAAGTCTGTTCCGTCGTAATCGCCTTGTGATCAAACTCAGAAACCAAATCTTATCTACCACATGGGGAATTTCTGGTGTGCAGCGTGCTAAACGGAGTGAACGTACTTCACAAGAGAGAAGCTCATCAAGATTAAAACAGAAGCGGTCGGCGTCGTCCACATCGCCGAGGGTCTTCTGTGAGTGGTGTTTGCAACGCTGAAAAAGCTTCAACACCACGGCAACATTTTCAAAAACAGTTCAGGTTGTCAAGCAATTCAGGCTTCAAGCGTTTGTGAACAGAAATTCCGCACAGGCGGGTCAGTGGATTGACACGAGCATAATAGCTACTGGATGACGACAGTTCAAGGAGTTGGACGGACAGGTCACATCATCCAGACTTCGAATAGGCTCGTTCGTTCAGGTGTAATGACCCAGGTACATTACAGCTATGCTGAAATAAATGATGATAATCGTTCAGCTGCTATACCCTCTCGGTGCCTAGCTATCATGTCACCCGAAAGAAGCACGAGGACTAGGATATTACCAGGTTGATCAGGCCTAGACAGAAATCGAGATGCAGAGGCCGGGTTCGAACCATGAAACTCTCGGCCGGTAAATTCGCGCTCCAAACCGCAGAAGTATCTCGCTCCAATTATGCTATCGGGTAGTGAAAACGCATAAACAGCCAGAGTTCCGAGGTCTACATCCCAATACATCATCACGGATGAGCTCCAATAGGCGCGAAACTCGGGTTCAATGCTATCCACTCCCTGTACCAGGTAGACAGAAGGACTGTCTGCAGTGGGGACCGATCCCACAACTAGTCACAAATAAACGAACAACTGGACATCCACGGCAATTATTCCCCGATCCGGAAACAGGTGATAGGAGGCAGGATAGATAAACAGCGCAGATTCACTGAAAGATGGAGCGCAAACGGATAACCTCTCCAACTCTAAACGAACGCCTTGAGGATGGCCTGAGTGAAGGGATCTTGATGAATTACCAATACATGTTGTCTTATCAATGTGAACCGGTTGCTGAGGAACCCAGCTGCAGACTCAATGACAAGTATCTTGGTTCAATTAACGTGGTCATCACTCCGAGTGACTCGGTTTGGTCTGTTGGTCCAAGCCTGACATGTGCAGCCACTTGGTGAAGAACAGCGATTCACTCAACACCTGAAACATGAAATTCGTCGTTCTCAAACCAAAGAACCATTGTGCAAACCAACATATATTCTTTCAATGAACCCTCGTCGGACAATAATGCAAAAAAACGATGAAAACTATCTTACATAAAAAATAAGATGGATGATCATTCCGTAAGAAAATCCACGGTCTCCCATAATCTGTATGGGGATCAGCACTGCGCTCTAGAGAGCTCAGTGGTTAAGGCGAGGACTTAACGGGGGTCTGTGACTCGAACCCAATCCGGAAATCTCGACTGTTTCTGTCTAGACCTGAGAAGTCAGATGGCTCAAGTGGTTAGAGCGCGAATTTACTGACCGGAAGGTCCGTGGTTCGAACCAGACCTTTGCCTTTCGACTTCTCCTGGGCTTGCTTGGGCAACCCCGCAGTATCGTAGCCCTCGTGCTTCCTTCGGGTGGCATGTCAGCCAGGAACAGAAAGGGTGCTACAGCTGAATGTTTTTTTTCATTCATCCACTTTACTTGGTATGGGACGAAACGCTGACTTCATAAAGTTGTTGAGAGCCATATAATCTCTCTCAGCTATCACGATTGTACAATTTCAAACGGACCATACAGTGTTGATCAATCAATATACGACCGTAACTTCAAAAGCCGAATGAATGATTCCTCAATGGGGGTTCTAAAATCATGACTAGAATAGTATGGAATGTGTGTAGGAGAACGCAGTTGGTGGAAGCTGACAAACTGACCTCGACTGATGATACAATGTTTGAAACGAAATGACTCCTTCAAGCGAAGAACCTGGGCTACCAACATGCTACTCAGTAGAATAACCAGAAAAAAAAAATAAATCGTTCAGCTGTAACACTCTTCGGGTGCCTGCTGCCATGCCCACACGAAGGATGCACGAGGGCTGGGATACTGCCAGTTTGCCCAAGGCTAGACAGGGGATGTCGGGATGCAGAGGTCGGGTTCGAACCACGGACGTTCGAGTCAGTAAATTTGCGCTCCAACCACATGAGCCATCTCGCCCCCACCCTCCAGTAGAATAACTACGGAGTTTACAACACAGTATGGTGCAAATAAACAGAAAAAACCGGGACAGCAGCTCCAACCAAATTACTTGAAAGCTGGATTGTATTGGCTGCCTTGTGAATGACGCTTAGAAGTTCCGCTAGTTGACTGCGCAAGTTCTCGTTCGACTGGGGTCGTAGGTCCAACAACACATGACCGTACAAGCGTGGTAAGCCAAAGGAAGCCAGGTCGTTCGAAGTGGAAAACCGCGCTCGAACAAGTGAGTTGATAAACTCGGGCGTCAGTGACGGGGTGCTTGAACGCGGGTTCCGCAAAAGACCTCGGACACCGGTGATATCTGGTTGTAGACCATCCACATGGGTGCCTACGAGGATGACTGGAGCTGTTCGAACCTTGGCCTACAAATGAATAGAAGGTGATGAGAAACAGAAGCAAGAAAGTATACCATACGGCTCAGAAAAACTGGAATGTCCAAGTATGAAAGATTCATAGCAAACCCATCATCAGGGTAATGACAACAGTATCTGTGCAACCGCCGAAGAAGAAACTCGAAATAGACAATGCTTACCTGAATGTCCATTAACCATTGAGTAGCTTGATTCAGCCCATCCACGCCATCTGACACACGCCAAACAATGATAAATACTGAAACAGGGCAGTATAGAGATTGCTCAATCAGCGTCATCGTTTCTGACGTAACATTATTGGCGACGGGAGAACTCTGTGAGCCACTGGTGGTGCGTTCCCAGGCAAGTAAAGGAGATGGGTTCGGATCGCCAATATCCCAGATGTTGAAAGTTACATCCTCACACCAATTGGAAGCGACATCTAGCGATGCCATGGCAGTGGTTCCATCGGCCTTGAATAATCAATGGTCACGTGAAAACGAGAATCAATATAACGGAAAGGAAATCGTCGAGATCCAATAACATTCGACTCATATAGGGATGGGCTTACAACCCGTATTCATAAATGGCACAGTTCCAAACAGTCACGGAGAGAGACCAGATTTATCTGTGAGTGTGTTTCTTTAAAATGAATCGAGAGTAGTATTTAACTCCATAGGCGTTCGCTTCACATTCACAGCAGATTCTAGATGCCACAAAAGTTAGTCCTGTAAGATATAGTCATCAATAAAAATGGTTGTCTCGCAGCCCAGCACTTTTGTTTTCTGGTCACATCCTCCGGATTGTACCAGGTCATACTGGCGACGGGAGTGAAGTTCACCCTCCATGTAGGACAAAGAAACCATCAACAAGCATATCAACAGAATATGAATTTTGGAAGAACACCAGACTATGATCCTGTCTCCTAATGGAACCATTTGCAAAGATCTATCTCACAAGCCGGATAGAAGCTACAGTCATAAAGAGTTCGGATAGTCAGAGATCCAAAAGTTGTGTCACAGCGCGCACAGGAAGTCGAACCGAAGAGCACTCACTGCAGAGATACTACCGTGCTGTGTTCCATCAAAAGTGAGAAGAACACTTACCGCCGGTGGGCGATGGACAACCATGCGACTGACATGCACAACAGGGGAAGGGTCGGCGGTTGCGTCGAACGAAAGGTCAGTGAGTTCGCCCGAGCATCCCGTGGAGGCCTGAGGACCGGAAGACCTGGCACTTACTCTGGATCGGAACATACGAGGCCGCTTGAGCTGTCCAGAACAGAATGTGGGGAAATAACCAATGTAGGATGATTTTAAAGTGACAAACGGGAACATCAAAAATGTGATTTGGCGGGCAAATTAGCATACAACTGAACAGCAGTCCTCACGAAATTAGCAGACTGAGCATCAACTGAAAATTCATAACAGAAGGAATAAAAGAGCGGTACTGGTACAAGGAACCCGAAGTTCAGTAATCCCCCGAGCAGCCAACAACTCCTGGCTAGATCACAAGCCTTCCACACCGGTCACAAAAACCCCAGAGGACACTGTGACAGTGACAACCCATCTTCAGTGGATGACTTCAATCCTAAAAGCTGCAATCAAACCCGAGGGGCGAAATCGATCGTGAGCGGTCGAAGAGTTTTCAGTAACCTTATGAGTATTGTATTACGCCTATACGTGCATCGCAATACCTCGAATATCGTAGCAACTGAAACATGAAGCGGCCTGGTGCAGCACATTAGAAACATTGTAAACCAGAGATTCAGCTGGTTCCCAGGTGAGGCTCTCGCAAAACCGAATTTGTTTGCAAATAAATGTGTTAAAAGATTATCCTGCTGTTCCTGTGAGACCAATTTGGTAGTCTACAGGCAATGAGAAAGTAACCAAACTTCACGCCCGCTATGACCTTTATGCGGCGCATGTTCACTGTGTGCCGAAGGTTAAAGGGCAACTTGGAGAGGCTTTGCAGACAGAGCGGTCAGCGTTAAAGGCCAGCAAGTAAGATAATGGGTAAGATACACATGCGACCGCATTCGAACGGTACAAGTTGGAGGTGCTTAAGCTGCCGATAGAGTGCGGATTTGTGTATTCCTAGGCGAACACAGAGCATGCAACTCGTCTGCAATAACTGTCATCAAATGAGTTCGACACGTCCTCTGAAAATCTGGTGGGAACAGTGGGATACAACGAAATCTAGCAACGATAAGCAATCGGTTCTGATGTGAAAACCGGTTAACTGCGAAGCAGAGGTATACGGGCTGCCTACTCACAACTGGCATTAGTAGTATGTGGCCGCCTTCATGAAAGTATGACCCTTACCGCACTTAGTGAGACTTGCCCACGTTGGTAAATTTTATGGAAAGAGCCAACCAGTTGTCTTTAACGTGCTATCCGGTATATCAGCCAGTGAGGGAATACAAGAAATACCAGAATTTTGCAGGCTTCCAAAAATCAACTCCAAAATATTAGAGCTTATTTGAGATTTGTCGGAAATGAATCGTCGATTGTGCGACCTGAACATCGTGGGTTACTTTTTTCTAAAAACAGACGTCCTCCAGTCGGGGGGGGGGGGGTGAAAGTAGTCAAGAACGCCAGACTTCGAATGAGATCAAAATTTTCGTTGGTTCAGTGACAATAGCCCCTTTGTACACAGCTGTCATAACATCAGAAGGAACCACGATGACTGTGATACTGTCAAGTTGCCCAAGCCTACACAGGAGCAGTCAAGGTTTCTGGGTGTTGGGTTCGAACCATGGACCTGTCAGTTGATGAGTTGGCGCATTAGTGACTGAGCTATCCTGGGCTCGATCGCCAACTTACACTCTCCCTTTCCTCGCAGCTTGGAACCCACAAACGATCACACCGAGGGAAGACAAAAAAGAGGCGATTGGGTGGTGAACAGTGGTAGACTAACACAAGCCCCTTGAGAAGACTATGCTATAAAACACTTGATTAGGTACAGTCAGGGCAAGACGGCTCAAGTGGTTAGAGCGCGAGTTCACTGACCGGAAGGTCTGAAGTTCGAACCCGACATCTGCAACTCAACTTCCACCGTCTAGGCCTGGGCAGTTTCTCAGCTCTCGTGCTTCGTTTGGGTGGCGTGACAGCTGACCACCGGAAAGATGTTACAGTTGAACGATTGTTAGGTGCAGTCTAGAACTGCACTATGAGAAACACAAATCTTGAGATAGTAGGAGAACTAATAGAAGAACGGTCGCGCATTTGCATCCCCCATTGTAAATCGGGTTGCTGGCATGCAGCGGTAGAACCGCTGCACACCGCCGTTAGGTGTATCACAGATAGAAAGAAAAGGAAAAAGAAATCGTTCAACTGTAGCGCCTTTCCGGTGCCTAGCTGCCATGCCACCCGAAGGAAGCACGAGGGTTGGGATACTGCCAGGTTGTCCAAGCCTAGACAGGGGAAGTCGAGAGGCGCAGGTCGGGTTCGAACCACGGACCTTCCGGTCAGTAAATTCGCGCTCTAACCACTTGGGCCATCACAGATAGATCGCAATTGTATGCAGTCATTTGATGGTCCATTAGAATCGCTACGGCACCGCCCCGTAACATGTTTTCGTGGGACCCGAATGAAGCACGAAGACTGCCAAACCATGGGAGCGAGTTGAAAACCAGGACTAAGTTCGAACGACTCTTTTACGGATCAGAAGATCATCCGCGATCACCACGCTTAGGCAGGTGGACCCGACATAACCATATAAGAGCAATCGCAATGCATCCGTTCGACTCCACGTGTGAATCAGTACTTAGTTCAGCGTATCACTGCAATATGACGGGACTTATTAGAGAATCGAATCTGGCAGTTCGGACGAAAGACAGGGCAACACCGTCTAACCAAACGATGTAGGCCAATGGGAGAACAAACAACCATGACATCTTGATTGATGCGCGATTCGAAAGGGAATGCTCATTTTTCGATCACTCCCCCGAGATAATCGCTCAACCTGTCGGGTTGTGACCACTGAAGTCCCCAGATAACCTTTTTTTCACTTCAGAAACGTGGTTTGAATAGGTATACCCCATATTTCTCAGCTCTCGTGCTTCGTTTGGGTGGCGTGACAGCTGACCACCGGAAAGATGTTACAGTTGAACGATTGTTAGGTGCAGTCTAGAACTGCACTATGAGAAACACAAATCTTGAGATAGTAGGAGAACTAATAGAAGAACGGTCGCGCATTTGCATCCCCCATTGTAAATCGGGTTGCTGGCATGCAGCGGTAGAACCGCTGCACACCGCCGTTAGGTGTATCACAGATAGAAAGAAAAGGAAAAAGAAATCGTTCAACTGTAGCGCCTTTCCGGTGCCTAGCTGCCATGCCACCCGAAGGAAGCACGAGGGTTGGGATACTGCCAGGTTGTCCAAGCCTAGACAGGGGAAGTCGAGAGGCGCAGGTCGGGTTCGAACCACGGACCTTCCGGTCAGTAAATTCGCGCTCTAACCACTTGGGCCATCACAGATAGATCGCAATTGTATGCAGTCATTTGATGGTCCATTAGAATCGCTACGGCACCGCCCCGTAACATGTTTTCGTGGGACCCGAATGAAGCACGAAGACTGCCAAACCATGGGAGCGAGTTGAAAACCAGGACTAAGTTCGAACGACTCTTTTACGGATCAGAAGATCATCCGCGATCACCACGCTTAGGCAGGTGGACCCGACATAACCATATAAGAGCAATCGCAATGCATCCGTTCGACTCCACGTGTGAATCAGTACTTAGTTCAGCGTATCACTGCAATATGACGGGACTTATTAGAGAATCGAATCTGGCAGTTCGGACGAAAGACAGGGCAACACCGTCTAACCAAACGATGTAGGCCAATGGGAGAACAAACAACCATGACATCTTGATTGATGCGCGATTCGAAAGGGAATGCTCATTTTTCGATCACTCCCCCGAGATAATCGCTCAACCTGTCGGGTTGTGACCACTGAAGTCCCCAGATAACCTTTTTTTCACTTCAGAAACGTGGTTTGAATAGGTATACCCCATATAGAGTGTTAATTACGTGACGTAATTATTTGTTTCCCTATTCCTCAGGCTAGTTCATCACCCTTCCGTGACTGCTCAAGTTTCAAGACTGAACTGTTCTATTTTATACAAAGCCGACTCTACCTCAACCATTTCTATAGACGATTTGTTTAGATTTTATTTCCGGGCTTGTTTTTGAAAATTTGTCCCACTTTGAACTGAACAACAATTTTTCCGTTTGATTTGTCCGATAGCACGCTGCCCTCCGTGTGCCATCCTGTGTTGCTAACTGCCCAAGGTTCAATCTAGCCGTAAGCCTCTCTTTAATTCTCCTCACGATTTACTATTAATTTCCTATAGAATCACGGTCTACCTATCTGTACTGTCTGCCCAAGTCCAATTCAATATATTGTTCACAGCCCAATTACGACTAGTGAACAAACGCAGGTGAAGTTCGTAGAATTCGGTTTCGCCGCAATTATTACTGACCGTGCGTTGGTGAATTAGACTACACGTTACCTGTCAGATAGGACGCCTAGATCGTGCGTTTAGGCTGAGTAACCTATTCCTTGCTTTGAGATCACGGCCTTAGCACAGGATCGCACATACGGTTTGAATTACAGAAACTGATTTCGTACCTTCTTCCACAGACACCAATCATCCTCCGTGTGCTCCTCAACTGCGTGCAGCAGCTGGACCAGGGACGTCTTGCCGGCACCGCGCGGACCGACAACCATCAGACGCGCCTCGGTGTTGGGACGCAATCTATGAAGTGATGAATTAGAGGCACGACAGGTGGCAAGAACAGAGCGTGCGCTAGATGATGATCAAAGTTTGGCTATGATGCTTCATTCGTTGCACTTACCCGTGGGACAACTTTTGGAATCTGTCCAAAACAGATTGCATGGTATTCGAGTCACTTGAAGAGGCCGGTCGTTTCACCGGATCGACCGCACCAGGTGTGATTGGTGTGCGTCTCAGATAATGGTCGAACGGAGTTTTATGCAGATACAGGGTGTGTAATTTTGACAGATGCCACAAATCTGCAGGCAACTGGAAAAGGAATAAAGAACCGTGTACAAATGCCTCGGCCGGAAGCTGAGGTAAAATTTCAAATAAACCCAGTCCGTCTCGTTATAGCCGGTCGCACAACATACAAGAATGACAGACAGGAGGTAAAACTGACATACCGTGGTCAGAGAAGTACATCCATCAAGAAACAGCTGCCGCAAATTATACAAATCTGTGACACTTGGATGTAGATCCTTCAGACGGGAATTGTTGCCCAAATCAAGTGTTTTCAAAGCCGGAAAGCGCGTAGATCGTACGAGGGGATCGCAGTAGTCGTCAACCAATTGTGCACGTCTACTTGCCGAACAGAGGACCGAGTTGAGCTGAACAACAAATCGGGGGGGGGGGTGAAATGAAAGGAGTAGTTTGGTAACCGAACGACGAAAAAAAGAGGAAATGGTAGGGCTACAGGAATTTGCAACATCCGTAAAAAGCCACAAGTACATATCCTCTGCCAGAGATATCGGGTGATTCGCCATTTGCTGACCACGGAGTGATACCATGCTTTGTGGATACCCTCAGCAGATGTACCTCACTTTCATAAGAAGGGAAAGGCCATGACATCACTGAGAATTCGTTATCGCTCATTGAGCAACAGTGGTGCACCAGGGAGGACCATCTCGTCATGAAAAACTTTGTTATCGACTTCATCCGAATCAGAATTTTTGGGTAAATTAAGGTCGACACAGAAAGCAGCACCAGACCCTGGCTTGCAAGAGGTGGCCTATAACCAAGGTCGGGAATGCATCGAAATATCGGTAGCTCGGGCGCGTTCATTGGTGGTTGTATCGGATCGGTCTTTTGGGTAAATTAAGGTCGACACAGAAAGCAGCACCAGACCCTGGCTTGCAAGAGGTGGCCTATAACCAAGGTCGGGAATGCATCGAAATATCGGTAGCTCGGGCGCGTTCATTGGTGGTTGTATCAGGCGGATCGGTCACCGGTCACCGCGCACGAATGATGTCACTTGAGTTAGCGACGAGACGTTTGCAGGCTAATTGCCAAGCTCCGGGGGTTGATAAGCCATCAGCTGATCAACCACAAACACACAATCAGGATTGGCAGTTGCACGAATGATGGAGGCGAAATGGGAGAACCATCGTGCATTCAACATGAGATGCTTAAAGCACAATACTATTCCCACATCCCTGATTGTGAAGCCACCGGATGGTTGTGCACTTCAAGGAGAACCACTGGAAATTTTGGAAAATTTTACATACCTCGGGAGTTGTATCAGCTCTGACGGAAGTGTGTCTGATGAAGTCAGTGAAAGAACCTCAAAGGCTCGAATCACGTTTGCTAATTTGCGTCACTTGTGGCGTCAAAAAGGCATCTCACTGGATCTTAAGGGTCGTGTGTAGCGGGCTACAGTAATGGCTGTGTTGTTGTATGAGTGCGAGACATGGCCTCTGCGGACAGATGATGTGAGGCGTCTTCAGGTTTTCGACCATCGATGCCTCAGAAACATGGATGGTTACGGATGGTGTCAGCGTGTTAGTAACGAGGTGATTAGAAAGCGGGTATTTGGTTGTGCTGCAGGCACCTCAATCCGGGAAAACATCCAGCATCATCGACT